TATGGTATTTTTGTATTGCTTGCTAAAACGAGCCCCAGTGGGGTACTGTAGGTTTAGTTTTTCTCGCTTTTCTCGGCCGCCCTAGCTTCGATCCGACTGAAATTTTCAGGGTGGTTAGGGAATCGGTTGTGGCACATTGCTGCCGAATACGAGAACATACTATCCACAAACGTTCAGGAAAAAGACCAAAAACTGATTTTCTAGTTCTGCCACAGAATTTTGTAAATTTTTTGGTCAATTGGTCCAAAAACTGCTACTATTGGTTTTACCAAAAGATCGAAACAATTCCATGGCAAAAACACCACGAAAATCGCGAATTTCGGTTTTCTACAGTAACCCCCGTGGAGCGCGTTTTAGCATGCCATCATAAAATTCCATAAAGTGACGATTTTTCAATTCGAGGGCCTTCTAGAGGTGAGTGTAAGATAGCTGGTCAAAAATTACTGATTTTTGGTGGTAAATAACAAAGTTACGAGGCAAAGTGCAAAACAAGGCCAGAGAGCCGATTTTTGGTCCGAGTAGCCGGGTCAATTTTCGAATTTTTAAAAATAAAAAAACCAGCTGGGTCTTATGGACACGATTATAGCTTTGATGTTATTATCTACGCTCGTCAAATTTGGGGGCAATCTGATTCATGATGATGGTGACTTGCAGCTCAAAATCGAAGATCACCCTATTCCAAAATCGAAATTTAGAAATCTTCTTAAAATTTTTGCGACGTGAGATTGCTTTAATCTTTGCATAGTTTTATTCAACTGATAGCACTGAATTATTGCTCAAAATATTCCTACGACTACACCTTCCAAAATTTTTTTACGCAACCTCCAAATCGGTTTATTTCGGGTTTTGATGAATTTTCTTGGCGCCAACGGCTGGTTAAAAAAAATTCATGAATAAGGCTTTAGGATGCGCTATTCAAATTATATCAGATAAAAATAAAACGATAATTTTTACAGCGCGACTAAATTTTATAAAATGGTGACAATATTTGGAAAAAAGCACGAACCAACCGTTTTGGAGGCCCTAAAAGACGCCCTTCCAAAGGAGTACGGTGGCTCATAATTTCGTAGATGATAGATCAACCTCAGAACTACATAGCTAAGCAAAGAAAACAGCTGAGGCCCCTTTGGCAATCTAGAAATATTTTTCCAAAGTTGGGTTTCGAGACCTGGAAAAATCCATGACCAGGGGGTCGTTGAAAAACTCAAAAATTCGTCGATCTCAAAAAATTCATTAATATGTTTATGCGATTGTGTCAAGCCCGTAGGTATTCCACAACAACTGATTTTGAGGTTTTCGCCATAGCTTTTTTCAATATTAAAAATTTACGATATTTCTCCATACAAAATTTCATTCCTCTCTAACTTTTCAACCAGACCCTCAAAAATTCTTGAATTTTGTAGGTACATATCTGCTGCTTATATTAACTTACATAATAAAAATTAGATGTCAGCCACCACAGGAAACTGAGAAAAAAAGCAAATGAAGTTTCCCCGAACGCACAGTTTTCGGGTGTCATTTGTATTGATACGTCGCCAAAAATCGAAAAAATCAAGTTGTGTTAAATCTTCATACCCAGCATATTTAAGCATTCTGGCATGGCAACGTACCTTCGATTCTCTACCGTTCGCGAGTTATTTCGACCCAAACTGTGGGCTTTTTTTTTTGCCCACCCTGTATGGTTAAAACAGCCAAAAAACACTACATATACCCCGTAAGTTAATCTGACTAACTAAGTTTAACAAAAAGAGTAAAATACAAAAATTTATTATTAAGGTACTATGCTCGGTTGTAGAAATATAAAATTGCTTTATTACAGGAATTTCGATCAGAGATCGACACGAAGTTCTTCCGTTTCCAGCATCATCTAAGCAAAGGTCATTGCAATGCAACTTTTCGTAATTCCAATTTGCGAGATTCTGACATTTGTCATTCTCGAGTTAATGTCTATTAAATTTTCGAATTTTTGAGCATTGTCGATATTTTCCGCGCAGTAAATGCTTTATAGCCAAGTCCGTCCGAACGGGCGGGCCAAGAGCGATACATCAGTCGACGAAGAATTTTATTGCGCATCTTTCTATGCTAGTCTCCTTGCCCGCCCGCACGGCAGTCTCCCGCAATTCCGGAAAAACTATTTTAGGAGCGCAATATACCTATGTTCCGGTCATTTTCGTGTCTCACAATGTATTAGAAAAATGAGCAGCACCCCAAATTAGGCCCAGTCACAAATTTGCAGCTTATTTCGTCAAATAACTTTCCGGATAATTTTTCACCGTCGGCAACTTTAGCGCCCAGTTTAACCACAAGAGTTAAATTTTGAAACTCTTAAAAGAGCGCCAGTCTCCTAATTCGATAATGCTCTTTCCGATGGCGTCAAAGCAAAATGGCTCAAAATGGATCAAAAACGGTGCCAAGCCATAATAGGGGTCGGTTTAGCCCCTCGTACCTTGTTTTTTTTTGAGCCTGTAGAAAAAGATTGGTAAGATTTCTTAGGATCCGTTCAACGGCCATCTTTTTCAGACGTGTTGTTGATGGTTCGCGAACATGGACGTTATCACCCAGCAACTGACAATTCTCCCGGCAGTTGGGCGCTGGTTCATGTGACAGTGTCGCTTCTCTGCCTCTCTACCAACGACTCTCCTGATAGTATTCGATGAATTGTTGGAATCTCGTTGTTTTGAGCACCGGATACGATATTTTTTCGGTGCGAAGAATAAAGGAAATAGATTGATAATAAATTTCTAATCCTATCCTATAAGCGAGAAAAGTATGTGTGTTTCCTGTACAGCCGATTTCTCGGCCGCCAGACCCAATTTTCAGCTGATTTTTGGCATGGAGGTGGAGAAACACATTTGTCAGTGTCAATTTTTTGTCTTTCGAAATTCCTTCATTTAACGGCTTTACAAGCAAAACAGTGAAAAATCCTAAACATCTTGGCCGAAAAAGGTTTGTTCAGAGGATATCTCGTGACCCTAATGGAATTGGGGTCTAATTTTTGGAGAGTCGATTGGAAATAGAATTCTCCTGATACATCATTCTGCGTTTTGTCAAATTTTGTAAATAAAAAATTTTATGAGCATTTTTCTAAAAACTCCTTAACAAAATGGCCGAAGTGCCGTGGTGTTCGGGGCATAACTCGAAGCCCCGATGGAAGTTCGGGCTGGAATTTGGACAACTTTGGTATTCGATGGCGGGGATCACGCGCATCTTATTATCTTCACAAGTTTTGAGCGTATTCAGACTAGTGATGGTATTATTCAAATCTCAAATCTAATTTGCATCCGCCTAATCAAATCTGCCGCTTTGATTTGAATAAGGTTTCAGCACTTCAAATCAAACCGATTTGATTTGGACTTGGAGGTTTGAGTTCAAATCTGAAGATTTGAACGAGGATTTGAAAGGAGTCGAAAAAATCAATAACTCATTACGCGAATGCTAATTTTATGATTGCATGCATAATCAAGGTTATTTCCGGTTCGCGGCCGCTCGGCCAACTCGATTTTCTTATGTTTTGCATGCCGGCATCTCCATAGGATTTGATTAAGGACCGGAAGCTTAATCAAATCCTCAGGATTTGATTTGAACTAGTCCACTGGGTTTCAAATCAAATCCGCCGATTTGAAATTGAAATATTTGCCTTCAAATATTCAGATTTGAGCTCTCAGATTTGACTCAAGATTTGATTTGAATAACCCCATCACTAATTCAGACTAAAAATGGAATTTTGTAAAATGACCGGAAGGCCTCCTCCCGGGATCATTGGGTCGCCCTTCTCTTTGCCCCCGCCCAGGAGAGAAGAGACCTTTTCCGTCCGCCAGATCTGAAGCTTAGCTTTTTCTTTTTTTTTTCATAGAAACCCTATTTCAACGTTGCGAAGGGGCCTCCCTTGGGTTACTAAGCTAACGTATTCCATCGAACAGTTTTCCCTTCCTCTCGACGGGAGGCCGGGCATTCTCAACCAAGAAATAATAACCAATCGTCGAGTTTCATCGCTGTGGATCAGCTCGTTAGAAGTGTCGGCGAACAGCGAAAACGGTTGAAACTTGTCGCGAGGCTTGCGAGTTCCCGGTAATCCCCAGATCCCTACGTGGAAAGAGAGAAAAAGAAAAGAAAAAGGCTAAGCCTCAGCTCTGGCGGTTTCGCTATGGCCAAGTCGGGTCCGGTTATCGGGATCCGGTTTGTATTTTTGATGTAAAACCCAAAATATGGTTTAGAAGGCTTTAGAACGAAGCCAGCCGCTCATGCTACGGCCGCAGGCTGAGAACGAAGCTAGCCGCGCAAGCTCAAGCTAGCGCCGCAGGCGTAATGACGAGACTAGCCGTTCAAGCTTGCGCCACATACCAATACAAAGAGCCTTGCATGGGAGATGCGTTTTTCCTTCTTCAGAGTAACTTTATGTGGAAGGGCACTTGATTCATAGGGCCTAGACGGGGTCCAGCGGGGGAGAGTCGCGAAGCGGCTCCTCCCCCGCTGGACTTTGATTCATTCAGAAACTAGGATTTTGTCACTTGTGTTTTTCGGCTTTTTTCAATTCTGGATAAAAGTTTACCCTGCATTGTAGAAGCGTTTCAAGTAGACCAAAAAAGATGAGCCTTTTGCAGGCTACAAGACCTATTCTTCGGTTTTACACGTAAATACGGGATAGCCGAGAGAACGGCGCGAAAAACTCCATTCCACTATCATTTTGGCACGTACTGTAAGTAGGCTGGAAATTCCATTCAGGACCCAGCCTATCCTGAGCAGAATTTTTTGCTGATTCCAAAACGGTCAAAGTAGCTGAAGAGCCCGATTCGAAAATTTGGTTCCATCTCTGCGCCAGTCCATCCAGGATGGACATTTTTACACGGCTTGTTAAAACGAAAAATAATTGTAAAAACGAACGATTATCATTTGAATTTGATCGAATTTTTGCCTTTTTTGGTCAATTAGCATATTTGGCCGATCTCCGGAGCCTCCAGCCCCTAAAATCAAAGCATTCACCTCAATCCCCGCTATCAGACATGGTAAACTAAATGCTTTGCCCTGTTTGAACGAAATTACAGGCTTGCCTGCTGACGAATGAAGTGGACGACTGCACGACGGCGTCCACCTTCGAGATGGCCAACTTCCGGGAGCAGCTCAACGACGCCGAGCAGCAGCTGGACGTGTCGGCGATCCTCGCCAACATTGGCAACGTCTCCGCCCTGCATGGCATCTCCATGGAGCGCCTCGTCTGCTCGACGTGAGGACACCGAACGGCTTCAACACCTCGTTCTTTTAGCCCGTGCGTGACGGCTGATGTTGAGGAGGCGGTGAAGTCGTACTACGAGTACGAGAAGCAAATCGATCCCGCCACCCGCTTCGCGCCGACCGAAGTGCATTCCGAGTACTGTCTCCCCGACATGCAGCCGGCTGCGTTCACCGCCAATGTTGACAACGAGGAGGACACGCTCGTCGAGCCGGGAGAGGGCCTCGGCATCGATCACTTCGCAGAGGTGTGTTTTCTTAGAATAATAGGTCTGTCGAATTATCGGTAGAGGAGCTAGTTTTTTGGGTTTTTAATAAAAACTTGGGCTAAACTCCAGATAACCCACCCCCCCCCCCAGCCGACCTCCACCTACCGTATCTCGACTCCCTGTTCATCTACAGGTGTGTAAAGTATACCAAAATACTCGCCACAGCAAGACGAACATTTTGGTATACTTTACACACCTGTAGATGAACAGGGAGCCGAGATACAAAAGTTGGGCGCCGGCTGGGGGGGGTTATCTGGAGTCTTACCAAAACTTGTCTGGTTTTATGGTTTAGGGATACTCAAAAGCGTTTTAGAAACACTTCCTCTACCACCCCCCCGAAAACGCAAAAGCACATAACATCACTTTCGTTTTTTCTCAAAATTTCTGTTTCAAAGTCTATTTGACTGTTATTCACCCCCCATTTTAGGCCCAGCGCTCGCGCGTCTTCGAGCTGTTGAGCGGCTACCAGCAGCAGACGAACAGCCCGTTCGACGAGAAGAACACGGGCCTGAACGCGCCGATGCTCACCGCCACCCTGGGCCGTTACAGCCACTTCTAAGCCCCGAACTCTTACTCCTCCCCGTTTCACTTATTCGTCGACTGTCCCACGATTATCCATGAACTATTGTCTTTTCTGTAACCCAAATATTCTCGCTGTGAATTCGCTTTGAGGGAATAAATTTTCGGAGGTTATCGTGTTTGTGGAAGCAATACTTATCAATCGTAACCTGAACGCGTTGAGTTTGGACAAAAAATCCAATTTTTGATTCTCCTTTTTAGGACCTCCAGAATTTCCAAACTTCAAACGCAAGCCCTCGAGGATAAACGCCAAAAGATACAGAAGAATCGATACACACATCTTTAAAGGTAATACAATTTATTAACTTCCAAGTAAAAATTAATTTTTCAGTCGATAGCTTCGAGAAGCACGACGGTCCTCCCTTTCAGTCCTGCTTCACCGAACGACTGCAGCCACGGCCGCTTCTCCATTTCGGGGCTAAATGTTTGTTTGGGTATCATAAGCGCACATTTGAGATCTACCTCATTTTGATCTGATTCTCCGGTGGCGGAAGACCAGGAGCATCACCCTGATGAGCAGCGGCAATGTTCTGCGACCAGAAGGGAATCGCGTGCAGCTCCTGGAACGAACGGTATAACACAGACATTATTTTTCCTGCTTATTTACAGTTTATAGGTTTCTTGACACACGCAGAATCCCTCCTACCTTTCGCGGATAGGAGGCGTGAAGTTTGAAAAAGAATGGGCAATCCGGGTGCAGGTGAGCGGCTTCGAAGAGTTTCTACAAAGCAATAATTTCATAAAGTTATTTTTAGATAGTTAAACAATTTTTAAACCTCACTTCAATGCGATCCTCCGGAGCGAACGAGGTGATCAGTCGTTCTCCGCCTGGGAACCGGATCTGAATTTGGTGCTTTTGAACTAGAACGATGTTTAGGTACCTGGATGACGACCGATTTGGCGGGGCTCTGCTGATAGTCATCCGGGTTCAGCGTTGCGCGGAAGCAGGTGATGATCTAGAAAAGTTGACCAGGTAACGCGTTGACGTACGTAAAGCCGCTGTTGTGTGCGGAACTCGAACTCTTGCTGTTGTCGCTCTTTATCCAGGCGCTCCTTCCGCTTCGCCTTGTCGATCTGGCGAAAATTTTAGTTTATGGTATCTTTTCAAAATATTATTTTTCTGAAGTGGAAACAAGGTATCAAGATGAGCTAGGGCGTTTTCAGTTGAAAACGGTGCTTTCGCATTATCGGGGGGACCAACTTTTTTTTCTTAGGATCAAGTTTGTCAAATATAAAACGTGGAAATGCTTCTAAACGGCTTTTTACTATTCCTAAACGTGAAAACTCTCAGAATTTGATGAAAAATGTCAAAAAAAAATAACGATTTTTCGACGAAAAACGGTCGATTTTTGACCGAATGTCGCCTTTTTGAAAGTTTTAGATATATTTTAGGTATCTGAACGCAAAATGACACTCACCTCCAGTGATTCGCGATACTCCCGGTCCTGCTCATTCCTTAGCGCCCGATCGGCAGCAATGTGACTGAATCGGCAAATACGACGAAGAAGAAGCGGAAACGCACTCCAAACTTAAGCTTTTCCTTTTCATCGAGAAACGGCCAGTCAGTAAGTAAAAAAAGTGAGAAATGAATGTAATTTTATGCCATGCCGATTAGCCAAAATTTCCCGGATATTTCGAGCAATTTGCAGCCGGAAGTATGTGAAAAGCTGCATGGGTTTCTGATTTTTAGGGTGGAAAAAGCGGCTCGATCATGGCCCATTTTTCGGGACTCGCCGCACGATCCACATCCATCCTCGGCCGCGCACCACTATTCGTCAGGGATGGCGGCCAACACGGCGAAGCTGATCAAGCCTCGCAGGGGCGGCAGCAAAGACAACAAGGGCAGGGCGTTAGCCACGGCACGGGTATCTCAACCATTTGATAAAAAACTTATCGAAGTAGACCGCCTCGACTACGAAAAGCGGCGACAAAAGTGCTGATCGGAAGATTGCAAGCCATGGATCACAGCACAGGGCCTCACAAGCCGGAGATGACCAGCTGCGCGACTTGTTCAAGGTGAGGCTTGCGAGACTGGTCTGTTAGTGGGGGAGAGCGGCTTTATGGGTTTTAGTGGTAGGGTAAGCTAGCGACGTCATAAATAGGCTAAAGTCAGCCCCCCCCCTCCGCTAAAAAACCAGAACCGGACTTTCCCTAAATTTCTTAATATTGTTAATTTGATGAAATTGATTTAATAATTTTCTCTCCTTAGAAAGTGCGCGAGATGTTGGCGCGATCGATGAATTACTACCACGGCATCATGCCTCGTGCCGAATGCGAGAGTTTGCTGGCCAACGACGGCGACTATCTGCTCCGCTTCACCACGCGCGACGACAATCAGAAGGGCGGTGGCGGCCGGGACCAGTTCGTCATCTCGGTGATGCACAACGATTCTGTGCGCCATATTCCGATCAGTCGACGGGTTAGCGTCTTTCACAGGGCTTCGCTTTTTCGTTTACCGTAGTGCGTAGTTTCATGAAGTTCCGGCAAATCTTTTTTACCCTTTAGAAAAATCCCACCTTTTAGGGCACAATGTGGTACATCAACGATGTGGAGCAGAAGACGATCAGCGAGTTGATCGAGTACCTGGAAGACAACAAGCATCCACTGCCCACCGGCGCCGTGCTGATGAAGGTATCACGAGATTCTAGTTGACTAAAATTGGGCTATTTAGCATTTTGGGCTAAAATTTAATCTATTCTTACGCTATGGATCAACGCGAACATTTTGGTATACTTTATGACCATGTAGAGTCAAGAAACAAATTTTTGGATGTAGAAATGTTTAGAAAAAGCTAAAAAGCCCCCTATTCTAGAAGATCAGACGCCCCAGCTACTACATCATGCACGGCAACGTCACAAAAACGCAAAAGATCGGCGAGGGCAACTTTGGCGAGGTGTACAAGGGGACGCTGCGCGATGACGGAAACACAGAGACGCCGTGCGCCATCAAACTCTGCAAGGGTGACGTGACGAAGAAGGAGATTACGGAATTTATGAAGGTACGGTAGTAGGTTATACGGCTAAACTCTAGTTTACCCCCCCCCCAGGCGAGATAGTAGGCCTGGGGGAGAGGGCGCAGGCGAAGAGATAGTAGGCCTGGGGGAGAGGGCGCAGAGAAAAGGGGCGTCTGGGGGGGGTAAACTAGAGTCTTACCGGTTAATACAATACAAAAAGCTGGCATTTTCCTGGAACCATTCTTCAGCAAAAAGTATCATTAGCTCGAAAGATATCATCTTAAAAGGGGTTTATCGAGTCTTTTTTTACTTTCCGAAACATAAAAGTTTCCAAGTTTTACGGAAAATCAAAAGGTATCGATTTTCCGGCCAAGAATGGCCTATTTTTTACCAAAATTTCGATATTTTTTAAAGTTTTTAGATAGTTTTTCTCGTTGAAATATAGTTATACACTAAACACAGAATTAAAACATTTCCTAATAAGTTACTAGACATTTCTAGTCATACAAAAAAGTTCGGTTTGCCCCCGATAAATCCCCCCCCCCCGATAATGCAGAAGAACCCAGAATATTTATAGGAGGCTCGCGTGACTAGGATCCTGAACCACAAGAACATTGTCCGTTTCTACGGCGTCGCCGCCCAGGAGAGCCCGGTGATGCTGGTGATCGAGCTGGCCGACAAGGGCGGATTGCAAGTAGACGCTAACCTACAATGCTTACGGATGCTTACGGATTTTTGTAGTCCTACTGCCAGAAACACCCGGACGTGACGGGAGAGCAGCTCGTCTCCTGGGGCACCGACGGCGCCAGGGGAATGGCATACCTTCACAAAATGAGCGTAAGTGCAAAAAAACCCTAGTGACTAAACTAATTAATTGTTTTTGATATAATTTCTCGCTTTCGCGCAGAAAAATCTGCAAAATTCGAAAATAAATTCTTTTTGGGTCGAAATAAAGAGATTTTCGTTTAAAAATATAAATTCTTGACGAAATTTTTTGAATTTTATGCTCAGGAATACTAAAAAAATGTCCAGGTACTACCGGACGACCCTATAATAAAGCATTATAATCATTATACAGTTATAAAAATTAGAATTTTGAAATATTTTGATCTTGCTAGCAGTCAAAAAAATTAAATAAAAAACTACAAAAATACCTTATATATTATCAACGGGCAGGTCTAGGCGTGGAAACGAAAATAAACATCAAATACCCAAAATAAATTGATCAGAACCATCTTCAGGTTCTCCACCGTGATTTGGCGGCCCGAAACTGTCTGCTTGGCAAGGATCTCGAGCTGAAGATCTCCGACTTTGGCAAGTCCGAGGTGGGCTGGCGCGAGATCAAGTGCGAGAAGCTGAAGAAGATGCCGATTAAATGGTGCGCGCCGGAAACGCTGTCCGAGGTACGGAAATTTCTATGGATTTTGAAAAGCGCAAAAAAGAACGAGAAAAGCAACAATTTCCAGGGAAAATTCACGACGAAAAGTGACGTCTGGAGCTACGGGGTGATGCTGTGGGAGATTTTTGGACGATGCACCGCCGAGCCGTTCACGGGAATTACGAACATGCAGGCTAAAGATAAAGTAAGAGCAGAGCCAACTTTTTTCCTGGATACAATTGTTCTAATCTAAAAAGGCAAACCGTTTGAAACGGATTTTTCTTATTGTAAACCAAAAAAAAAATCGATTTCTCGGCGAAAAAATGTCAAAATCTGCTTCTGAAATGTGTATGGAAATGATAGGATACTGCGTCCTGAAGTTACGAAATATTCTCACCTTCTACAGATCGTGAATGGTGACATGGCACTTCTGGCATTCCCTCCAAAAACCCCGGAAGTCGGTATCACGGTGATGAAGGCCTGCTGGACCCGTGTAAGCCATATGCCCGTCCCAGCCAACCCCCTTCAATTTCAGAGCAACATCGAACGGCCCGAGTTTCTCGACCTGCTCAAGATATTCGCCCCCAACGAGGACTTTGAAAAAGAAAACGCCGACTAGGACAGCAAAGAAAGGGACAAATAGAGACGCGGGCCCCCGGATGTGTCCTGTTAATAATGATGATGATTATTTATTCACGCTGTTTACTCGATTCCGTTAAATGCTGTGATACGTTTATAGTCGACTTTAGAAAGAATAAAGATGAGCCTGGGTGAGAATGGTGAAAACCCAAGAAAAAAGCACGAGAATTTGATTTGCTTGCTCAATTTTATGCGCTGGCTTTGGCGATTATTGTCATCGGAATGGGCACTCTGGGTAATGCGAAGAGACAATACCGCCCCGGGGAAGACAAATTCTCGAGTAAAGCTAGCTTTACGTACAAAAAATGTCATTTTATTCATCTGGAATCGATGTATCTGGACGAGTTAGTCGGTGTTCAGCTGGAACAAACTATTGCCAAAGCTTTCGGGAAGAATATATAACCCTGTGAAAATGATAGGCAAAAAAATTGACGATTCGCCGTCGAGACACATCGTTCCATTGGAAAAATGACATTTCAGTACATCGGGCAAACCGAAATTTACCCGCATTCTCTCCATCGCAAAGTTTCGTCGGTATTTTTGATCAATTTTTCGCACTTTGCTGCGAGTATTTGAACTCTGCGCACAAATTTTTCGGTCGGCCGCCCCTCGAAGCCGCGCTTACGCCACCAAATTGCGGGCTCGGTTTCACGCGAAATGCTCTGGCAAAAAGCTTTATCAGCCTAATGGCCGTCTGCCAAAAGATGCTTTGTTTTTAAAAAACGCTCTAAAACTTGGAATAGTGATTCGAATGATATACCCAGTTCGAAAAACGCAGTTTGATAGATCATGTTGTCCATCATTCGAAACAGGAAACCAGCGTTGACACTTTCGTGCCATAGATTTGCCAAATCAACGTTTGTTTTAAAAAGTGGTTTAAGCTAACGTGAAAAGTCAAAAGTTTTTACAAAAAAAAAGTAAAAAAGTGTCTTTCCGCGAGTGTACGTTAAACGATTTATGGACGCAACAATACAAATTACGGATCGTGCTGCTACGGTATTTGCTACCTTCGGATTCGGCTGATAGTTTTCGCATTTTCGGCACTCGCGTTTTTTCTGCGTTTTGCCGGCGGATGTGGTTACGTGAGCACTTTTCTTTATTTTCCGCGCAATTTTGTACAAAAACTATTTTCGAATTTGCGCCTCTTCTAAACTGATATTCGTGGTATTGAAGCGTTTGGGCAACGTTCCTTTATTCACGTAGCTTTTCTGTGCCATTGTTAGTTTCTAACGTATTTTGGACGTTTGCCTATCCTTCGGCAGCTTCCATTTCCCTGACTCTAACCCCTCCTGACTTCGTTGGTACTCTAATCTCATGCTGCGCCAAATTTGGTTCTTCTGGTCCCCCAAAAATGTCTCGTTTCAGGTATCACTGCTGCAATGCTGAAGTCATCGAAGAAGAAGGAGGGCAAGGAGAAGCCGGAACAAGGCACCTCGGTATTTTCTGGTTATCTTGTGATTGGGATAATATTTTTAGGCTGAGGGCGACAAAGGCAAGAAAGGCGATGACGGCAAAGACGGCAGCAAGCGTCCGGTCATCCCATCGATTCGAACCGAAGACTGCTCTAGCTCTTCGGTAGTTTCTTGGGGAATTTTTATGCCTTGGTTTAGGGCGCTGATGCTGGCCCGCCGGTAACTGCTCTGAAGCGCACTTCTTATGGGGGAGGGCCCACGCTGCCGCGTCGGGATCGGCGGCAATCGAGCAGCTTGTTCGCCATCTCGCAGAATCGGGAGATCCAGTCGTTGCCGGACATCAACAGTACGTGTTCAGGATTATCCAGATCATCTTCGCTTTTAGCGGCTGCCCCCGCTGATGCCGAGCCTCTCTTCATCCAAAAGCTGCGCCAATGTTCCGTGGTTTTCGACTTCACCGACCCCTTGTCGGATATCAAATTCAAGGAGGTGCACTCAACATTTAGTCATGAAACTTTTGTAGGTGAAACGTGGCGCTCTGAACGAGTTGATCGGCTACATCACGACGAAGCGCCAAGTTATCACTGAAAGTATCTACCCAGAAGCCGTCAACATGGTATAGATTTCGATACTATCTGGAATAACTATTTTCCAGTTCTTCGTCAACATCTTTCGCTCACTGCCGCCGCCGACCAACCCGATCGGCGCCGAATACGATCCGGATGAGGATGAGCCGAATCTGGAGGCGGCCTGGCCGCATCTCCAGCTCGTTTACGAGTTCTTCCTTCGGTTCCTCGAATCGCCCGACTTTGTTCCGGCGTTCGGAAAGAAGTACATCGACCAGAAGTTCCTCGTCAAGGTATATCCCACTTTCCTTCTGCCAAATTAGGAATTTAGCTCCTTGCGATCATGGATTCCGAAGACCCTCGCGAACGCGACTTCTTGAAGACTACTTTGCACCGAATTTACGGCAAATTCTTGAACCACCGTGCTTTCATCCGCAAGACTGTAATTTTCTTCTTATTTCCAAGTACGATTTTTAGATCAACAACATATTTTACTCGTTCATCTATGAGACGGAGCGGCACAACGGAATCGCCGAGTTGCTCGAGATCTTGGGGTATTTTCGTTCTATCCTTTGTAGGGTATTTTTGATTTATTTTAGTTCTATCATCAACGGTTTCGCGGTCCCATTGAAGGAAGAGCACAAGCTTTTCCTGCTTCGCGTCCTGCTCCCGTTGCACAAGGTATGACTACCGAGGGTTGCTAAATTGCCTTTTAGACAAAGGCCATGAACGTCTACCACCCGCAGCTTGCCTACTGCGTTGTTCAATTCCTCGAAAAGGATCCCGCGCTGACCGAGCCCGTCGTCCATGGTTTGCTTCGGTTCTGGCCCAAGGTCCGCAGTCCGAAAGAGGTGATTTCTTGCCGCCTCAAACGAACTATTCTTTAGATTCTCTTTTTGACTGAAGTCGAAGAGATTCTCGAGATCATCGACCCGGACCAGTTCAAGAAGGTGATGCGTCCGCTTTTCACCCGGTTGGCCAAGTGTGTCTCCAGCCCGCACTTCCAGGTTTTTCGAATGTCCTGGTTTTTATCTTATTCGTTAGGTCGCTGAGAGGGCGCTCTATTACTTCAACAACGATTACCTGATGAGCCTGATTGCCGAAAACGCGGAGGTGATCATTCCGATTATGTACCCGCCACTTTACAAGCACTCCAACACTCACTGGAACAAGTATGTTTTGAATTTTGGCTTCATTCTAGTCGCAGGACAATCCACGGGCTTATCTACAATGCGCTGAAATCTTTGATGGAGGGCAACCAACGTCTTTTCGACGAGTGCACGAAGAACTACGCCAAGCTTCGAGCCCAAGAGCGAGAAGCTCGTGTCAGGACCGACGAAAAATGGCAGCTCATCGAGAAGGCGGCTCGTGGGAACCCTGTGGTAAGGCCATTTAAGTACCGTTTTAAAATTTGTTTTAGTGGCAAGAGGTCACGGACACCTTCCCCGACGAGCTTCGCGCCCAGTTCGAGCAGCTCGCCTTGGACGAGGAGCCGGAGCAGCGGTCACAGCCCGTTGACCCCAGTGTCGACTTGTCGCAGGAGACGTCGGCCGAGAAGGACAGCAGTTTTTATCAGGTATCGTGGATATTTAGTTTCGTCATGCTTTTTGTTCCAGAAGAAGAGCGAGGTCCCGCCGGATGTTTTGACGGAGCGAGCCCTCGACGAGCATCAGCGCCACGATCCGTACCTCCGGCCGGTTGACAATGAAGAGTAGACGGATGCACCGATGCTCCTTAATGTTTTGCTCTGTGATCTCATTCGTTCCATTGTAGATATTCATTAATCCGTTCTATCTTCAGGCTTGCATTTCCGGTTCCCTGTGAAAGTGTCTCTTTCAGTGCTCATCATAGTTAATTGTGTTTAGTTGCCGGCTTCGGCACTTTCAGCCAGGACATGGGTCGCAACTTTGGTGCCTTCTATACTGGAATGACCCATAACTCGGCCTGCTCTTCGCTTTGGTGATACATGTGATTTGTCCGCTGATGCTCCCCTTCACTGTGTCTTTTCCTTGCGAATATGATAAAAAAGTTTTTTTTACACTATTTCCCGACGGTATTTGCTCAGTACTTTGACTAACAAGTCTATTTACTAATCAACCAGCTCTGAATTTTCCTTTTTTGACCACGACCACTGGTGGCTGAGGGCGGCCAAAAATTTTTATTTTGCGAAGCTACAATTTCTACGTGCCCTCTGTTTTGTTCTCCCTCTGGAGGCGCAAAATTCATGGTCTGATTGGGCCTAAGCGCGCCGCCGGCAACGGTCAACACAAGCCCGCCAAGCACCGTGATTCAAATGCTCCGGTCTTTTGCTCTCTTTAATTTCTTTGCACATGCTCAACGTTTAGAGTCGCGAATTTCAAGATGATCACCAAGGTGCTCTTCCGCGAGAAGCGGCACGACCCCGAGGATTGTGTCCTGCTGGTATGACTCTACTTGGCCCTCTCCAACCCCTTTTTTCAGCTCGACAAGTATCGTGTGCGCCTGCTCGAAACGAAGACGGTAGTTTATTCGGTTTTTTCAACAAACTGTTTGTGTAGGTCCCAATCTACGAGGACTCACCCGCCTACGTTGCAGCCAACCCAGCGATTCTGGTCGTCGACTTTCCAAGGGCCAAACTGGATGACGTGAGTTTATTTTGTTTCGCTCGATTGCGCATTTGTAGAGCTGTTCTTCTGCTCGCAGAACCAGTCAAGACTCTGATAGCTCGGATGACGACGAAAATGGCCCGCTTCACTTCTCCTTCCTGACCCTCGACAAGCTCGAGAAACAATGCGAGGTATTCTATTATTATCTGCTATTCAAATTCCCTTAGGGACAGACTAGCAAGTTGGCGGCGCTGCTTGCGCGCAACTACTCGCCGTGTGTGCGGTCATTTGATGCCGTACCGGTCCCTACGCAGCAGGCCGCGACTTTGCGACAATTGTTGGTATTGACAGGCTTAGCGTGGCGAACTGTTAGTAGAAGATGTAACTTTAGCCTATCTCTTCGAGGGTCTCATTTTTTATCGGCCTAAGGATTTCTTAAAATTCAATAACTTTAGCAAGCTTTTTTTGGATATTTGACTAGCTTTGGGGTAGATACCTACGAAAATCGCCATAGATTTGAGTGATTATCGTTTTATAGGTTGATCAACAAAGCCGCCGCCTTTTTTGAGCAATCCCTCAGCCGTCTGCCTATCGTCATAGTGGTTGACGGCCGGGATATGCTCGCCGCCACCTATTTCGGGGTGCAGCGCCTTCCTGGTGATCGGATCTCCACATCGAACACGCGCTTTTTGGGTAAATTTGGTAATTCGGAATTTAAACTTTTATTGGCAGGGCCCGCATCAAAAGATGTCGAAGCTTTACTCGATGATACGAAGGCCAGATACAAGGGGCGACGCACAAAGGCTAAACATGTCGTGACTTACGAGGTGAGTTTGTTTGTGAAAATTGACTTGGCAATCAGGAATCAAAAAAAGTGAGAGGAGGGTTCCTTGGCCTGCATGTAGTTTTTTTTCAGTTGCTACCAGAATGGCATCGCAAGCGGGTCGTTCGCACTGCCGCCATTTCGATCACGTTTTCTTGGGATGGAGATGAGGTAATTTTATTTATCTTTTTATTTTATCTTCTTTTTTATTGATCTGACTAACACTGTTCTGATTTCAGGTTCGCTGCCTTGGGAAAGTGCCCGCTGATGCCATGGGCACAATGTCGATTACCCCAGGCTGGAAAGACAATCGTGTCTGCCTTTTCGGGATCAGCAATGAATTGGAGCAGCTGCTGGTCTTCTTCTGCGGGTTTTACTGATTAACTGATACTTTAGAACATATGCGATACCCTGCGTGCGAACGACATCACACAAATGAAATGGCCGAAAGAAGACGCATCAAATGATGAGATGGTGATCGCCGCAGACGTTCAGAAGGTCTGTCTGGCTTTTTTTTGACAATATCTTGTGTTCCAGGTCGTTGAAGACTGTCGCGAGTTTGCTAGGCGCAATGGCTCTGACCAGGGACATATGCGTTTCCTCGACATGACCGAGCAGCTCTGGGGCGTCTACCGGCGCTGCGAATCATCCCAACAGCTAGCCCGGGCCATTCGACTTCTCTTCGACTCGTTGGGCGCCGGCATGGCAAATACCATTGTAAGCTTTACATTATAGGATTTTCCAAAAAAAAAAACATCCCGCTCCATCTAGCGGCCCGCAGAATTGTCTAACTGTTACAGACTCTAGCATGTAAAATACCGAAAATAGTAAGTGAAGTATGGAGGTCCGTAAAGCAGAGGACACGAATCTCCTCGTAGTGTCAAAAGTTTTATTTATATTCAATCTTCAAAATCGGGCAACTGCGAACCGCAAGATGGGGCAGAGGTTTTTTGGGGCCACGTCTGCATCTTAAAGGGCTGCCGACGGCATGTGTCGATCCCCCCTCATCAACAAATTGGCAAGTAGCCAACAGGGGAGAGCGCGCGCCTAGGGGAGAGGCGCAGAGACATTTTATTTTCCGCGCGTAACCGATTCACTATGCCGTCGGCATCCCTTTAATCTTTTTTAATAGGTCCATCAAGAGAACAAAACGACTCTGGCGCGCCTGATCCGGGATGCGTGCCGTAACGAGCTGATGCTGCCGCGCCTCGAAGGGTTGATCCCGATCCAAATTTTGGCGGAAATCGGTGCTGAAAAGCTGTCACGGTACTTGTCCTTTTTATTTGACCGTGTTTTTCAGGGAAATTCAGGAAATTTGCAAGCGCAACGACCTGGTTCGGGAAGAGGAGACTATTATCCAACACCTCACCGCAGGCTTCAAGGTAATGGGTTGCAGTTCGGTGCGAATATCTATTCTTTAGCAAACGACTCCGATTGAAGAACGCGCACCAGGCCTCAAGAACCTTCTTCTCGCCGTGCAGACAATGCAGCTGGTAGGATACCTTTAGCATCCAATTTTCTTGGTTTTTAGATGAAGCAATACATGAACCCCAGCGGCCAATTCAAGATGTATGAGCTCGGGCAGCGAGTCCTCGAATTCTTCGCCAAGACCCCGACCGAGCAGCTCGATGCCGCCACGTTCTCTTCGCAGCACTGCTTCGTCGACTTTGCGTCGAACGTCTTTGAAGTGTATGTTTCATTTTGACAGATTTGTAAAATGGTGATGGCATGGATGAACGTTGTTCCGTGATTTAATTTTTTCTATAGCAGAATAGAGCGACTGTCTTTATCCGATACATCTAAGGTTACTTTTAAAGTATCGTTTAAACTTGTCTGGGCGAGAAATAGTATCAGCGTGACCGACAAAAGGGGTGAAATGGAGTTACTAGAGTTTTATGAGATTCACAATTTAGGTACATGCCGTCGACATGGTCCGCAGAACATTGGTATTGGTGTGGCGGTGACCGAGAGGTAGACAGTCTTCGACCTATTCTTACACTTTTGATTAGATCCATACAATCACCCACTATACTCGCCATTCGCGTCTGGAACACCTGCAGATGTTACGCTTCAACGAGAAGCTTGACGAGCAGGAGGACCAGCCCATGGAAGAAGGTCTGTTTTTTCTCCTTCTGATTGATTCTTTCAAGATTTGGATTTTTGGTCGGAAGCTTATATTTTGTATTTGTCAACGAAATTTTTGGGTTTAAGTAGGGTGAAAATACTGTCCTATTTGTAGAATAGACGATTTGAACAAATAGCTTTCATCACACCCCCACCCCCGTGGAAATACTTTGGAACTCTATTTTTTTATCAATGGCATGATTTTAGAAGTGAAACAAGAGGTCCTCTCCCCGGTCAAGAAACGCCTCCGCGCGGAAAGTTCGTCAGCGAAGAGACAGGACGCGTCTGATGCCAAATACTCTTGCACCCTGACCACGATCTCGACCACTGTTCTCCCCTTCCGCTCTCTCCGACGTTAGATTCATTGATGTGTGTTTGAATACTGTGCCTCTGACCTCTCCTTCATATCGGGTCTTTTTATCAATTTGTGATTATTCATATACCTTCCGGTGCCGTTTTTGATTATGCCTCTAGCTTTGTGAATGGATAAAAGATTGATTCTTTGCTGGTGTTTTGGCCTCTTTGTCGGTTCAAAGCCGAGATGGTTCCTCATACGACTTGAGCTCTTATTTCTTTTCGGGTACTACTGGTTGCATAGTGATTGTTTTACCGAAGCCAATGATCACTGATGGCACTATTGTTCTGGGGCCGTGTACTTTGTTGGCATTTTTGGAAGCCCATGGGGCTACTTTTTTTGTACTAGCAATAGTTCGAAAATAAAAAATATCTAGGTAAGAGTTTACTTCACCCCCCCCCCCCTACAGCCAAAGGGTCTCAAAGTTTTCGGTATTTTCGCTGATTTTGTCGGGATTTTTGCAACACCATTCGATAGAGCGTCGAAAAATATACTAAGAGTTTTAATTTGAGTCTACAATAATGTAAAATAAAAAAGTTATGGTCAAAAACTTCGGCTGGGGTAAAGTAAACCGTAGCCAATATCTATTCCGGAAACGCTTGTTTCGATTACTTTTAATTAGAAACCTCGTATGTTTTACCTAAAAATACGGCTTCGTGCGATCGACAGCGCCGACGCGCTTTCCTGAAAAGGCTACGGTTCTCAAGTTGTGCACATGTGCACTTGTTATAGATAGTTTTTCTGGAGCAAGCAGACTGTTTCGCGTCCTGCTTGCATTCTATTCAAACTCTACGCAAACGACTTGCCTATAAAGGGCTCCAAAGTCAGGCACAAAAGCCGCCCATAACCAGCGGAGTAACCAGAGGCTTTTAATTTTTTTCAACTTCTATCTTCTCGTTTTCGTGGACCTTTAAAATATTTGTTCCAGATGGATTTACACGCCGAGAGGAATAATACCTTCGCGCAAGAGTACTTTGGCTTTTCGCCTGCAGGATTGACGGATAGCGGTAGGCCATCGCTTTCCCTCCTTGAATCAACCTTGTTTCAGTCCACAATATTGTTATCGAAAGATGGGGCCAGCTTGTTGACGGCGTTTTGAACGACCCTGCCCTACCAGCGGTAAGGCTTGATCTGTTGAATGAAATTCCTTGTTAGGAAATGAAGAATTCGGACACCAGGTCGGCTCTTGCAACTCTACTCAACAAGAACAACGTTTTCAAGCTAGCACTGGATTGTTTTGATGTAAGTGTATTTTTGCTTATGCCCTTTGGGACATGAGAGCATTTATAAGGTCCACTCTATATCATCCTTTTAGGAACGACTGCGCAAATACATCATGCGAATCCCCGATGAAGTGACTTTGCCAGAGCACCTCGACAATCTGGAGGTATTTCTTGTCTTTGAGGTATATACTTGGTCGTTAGCTTCCGGAAGGCTACAGTTTGAAGGCGGTTGAGCGAGAAATTGCGGCGCTGGAGCAGGAGTTGATAGAGGTGATTTTTAGTTATTTTTGGTACAGCGGTTAGCTGAGGACCAAACTACCTAACTTTAGTAGTTTAGGCGAATAATAAACACACACAATTTCTGTAGCGTTTACGCCGTTTTGACCTATCAAGCTTTTTGCAACAACTAAAAAATTGTTTTTGTTGAAAGTTTTCAAAAATCTATTTTCTTATTTATTTTTCTAATTTATTTTGGCAATGGAAAACAAATAATAAATCACTATAAAACGCTACAACTTTTTGTTAGTTAGGTATAGCAGTTAGATTTTCCGTCCCCGCCGCCTCTTCCCGCCGCTAATAGCCCAGTACATATTAACTAGCAGAAACGGATCACCGTGGCCAAACAACGAGCTGAAGAGCGGGACATCAACGACAGCGCGCAGATTCTGGCGGTCAGTGATTAGTTAATTTCCTCTCAAAACATTTCTGGATTTAGGCGATGTACGCGCGTATTGCGGGCGACGATGACGAAACGGCTTCGTATCTGAGCACGACACTCGGTAACCTGACGATAAGCAAGAGCAACCTCGAAGACCCGACGGATGGTGAAATGGCCGACGAAGCCGACTAATGTTTATTTCCGCAAATAATTTGCTTGAAGAGAGTTACCGTTTTCTAAACTTGATTTGTACTACTTCATAGAAGATGATCTCTTTTGTATATATTGCCTTAACAGTTCTGGACCAATAAATCGTTGCGATCTGATGTCGTGGAGAACGTGGTGGAAAACACAATACTGAAAAAGTTCTAACCAGAGTCGTTTGTTGAGCTCCCGAAAGACGAACAGCGTATTTTTTTAAATTTGCATACGGAAACAACTAAGATTAGGATGCGGACCCGATATAAAATGCACATTAGAAACTTTTCACGCCTTTCTACTTATTTATATCTGCCTGGCGGTCGTCTTTCTCTCAGCAAAATGTGGCGGAATTGGCTGGGAAAAAGCTCGGAGGCGTCTTCTGGATTGTACAAGAAAGTGAAGGGATGGGTACGCCGCAAAGATACAGGTAATATTTTGGCATTCACCTAGGTTGAGTCATTCTTTAGACGACCCAGAAGCTGAACCTGTTGCCGAGGAAGCGGCGCAAGAAGAACCACAAGCTGCGCCACCCGCTGCGGCGCCAGCTACGCCACCACCGCCTGCAGCCCCTGATCCGACCAGCCCCAAGTCGACGGCCACAAATTCGTCTAGAGCCAAGTAGGTCCTATTTTCGGGGCCAAGTATGATTGCTTATCTTTACAGCAGCAGCAGCAAAAGCCTCGCCGTCTCGCCAGCCTCATCGACGAAAAATCAGCCGAGTGCTGAGGATATTTCTGTCGGAAGCGTGAAAAAGTCGTCGAGAGAAAAAAGATCGAGCAGAGAGCGCAAATCCTCAAGCTCTACTCGAAGCGTGTCCTCTTGGAGTAGTGAAGTGTCACGGGTCGGTCTTTGTGAGCTGAGCTCCATTACGTCGAAATGTCGTCCTTTTACGCCTCGATTAGTCATCTTCCCATCTGGCAAATCTGTTCTGTGAATTCTTATAATTCAACACTTTCTCTCTAGGCAGCCCGCAAACTCGTCCGCTTGAAGCCGATCAAGGTGTCGGAGAAGAAGCTGGCAAAATGGGGCAAAATTGTTGAAGAACGGCTGAAGCGGCGAAAAGCCGCTGCTGAAGATCCGGCCACGAAACCGCTCTACACTATTGACACCCCATTTCCGGCTGCCGATAGGTGGGTATTGCCAGAAGTATTAGTCATCGGTCTTTTTAGATCAAAGGTCGAGGAGGCTCTGGCCAAAAAAACCATCCCCAAGCCAACACCGACGCCGTCGTCGAGCAGAAAATCAGTGGAAAAGCCGAAGAAAGAGGACAAGAAGGAAGAAAAGAAAAATAGGAAAAAGGAAGAGAAAGCGAGTAAAGAGAGCTCGAAGACGAAAAAAGGGAAGAAAGGCGAGAAGAGAGGCAATTTGCTACCGAACGGAAAGACGCTTCTTCCGAGCGGGCAACCCTTTTGGGTTGACCCCAATGCTGAGGATGTAAGCCATTTTCCACCTACGGGTACCGCTATGTTTAGGAGAAGCCGACCGACGATTCGCTGCCGCTGAACGCGGCTGTGATGCTCGACGTACTGCGCGGCGAGGTCAAATTGAAGACGATGCCCGACGACCAGTAATTGCATTTTTGGCACCCAAAAATTGTTCTTGCAGAGTGAAACTTGACCCGATGGCTGAAGTGAAAGATCTGCGACGGAAGCAGCCTTTCTTCGAATACGAGGTCGTCTACGGAAATACGGTCCGGTCGATGATCAACGCTTCGGGTAGACGATTTACCATTTAGCGTCTATTTTTCGGTTTAGAATCCGTGAATACGCGATCGACGGACCGCAGCGAGTACAGCCAGATCGCTTCCAGGTGGTTTCTGCCACTGGGTCTTTCTTATTATCTGTTTTTTCAAATATAAATAGTGAAAGTGTTGCTAAACGGTTTTGACTATTACTAACCGTAAAAAAAGTTTCAATTTTCATTGAAAAAGTCAAAATATCGATTTCAAGACCAAAAATGGTCGTTTTTGACAGAAATTTCAACTTTTTAAAAGTGTTTAGTTTAGATAATTTTTTTACTACAGTTATATCTAACTAAAAACACTTTCTATTAAGTTACTAGATATTTCTAGACTTAAAACTGCTCTCCCCCCGATAATGCGAAAGAACCCTGCAGCTTGATCCTAACTTTTCGATTTTCGTGCCAGCGGAAGCCCGAGGATCGTTCGAGAGCGGACACCCTTGAAGATAACGGAACCGAGCCATTTGACCAGGTATCTACAACCACCTTTCATTTTCAATTCCTTTCAGTTACACGCCACAGTTGAAGCTGCTGAAACGCGAGAAATACCGCCGTACGTCAGCCCATGCCGAGACGAGCCATCGTCGAAGCTCCAAAAAATAGCGCCCAGTTAATCCTGCTTATTTGATTGTATCTACTTGAACTGTCCTTTGTTTTTGAACTTCTTCGGTTTTGTGATGTGCCATTAATAAAGAGTCTCAACGGGTGAACTTGATAGCGATGTTCCAGTGGAGCTGGCGGATTGGGTAGAGGATTTCAGATCCCAAGCTTTAGGCAATGGTGATACAAGATGATCAAAAATTGAGGAATTGGAAGCGTCAGGTTTCTCTAAAAGAATACCACGAAAAGTGTCCCAACCCCGTAAGTTAGAAATTGCGTAAATTATAAAAGCTACCCAATTAGCATTGGTTTCGTGGTACATGTAGGAGGAAAACTTGCTTTCTCTACATTGATTACTAATCGCTATCTAACCTACTAACAACAACTAAGATGCTACTGGTAATTGACAGTCTATGTTTTCTATTCTTTTACAGCACCCGGATGTGATGCTCCCCATGTTTCAAGGGCTGTGGATGCGGCTGGGGAAGGCGAGGATTGAAGCGGCGAGGGCGGAAGACGCATATCGGACCGAGGTGCGCGTTTATCTCACTAGTTTTAATGCCACTAATCAGCCGATATATCTTTTTTGTTTCAGGAGATGTGGGCATCGATCACCTACTGCAAGCTGTACGACGCCTTGCTCGAACGCGAGGAGGCTGCACGTCATCTATGGGCCATCAAGGCGCCGCGTATGGCCGACAAGCCGCCCCCGGCTTATTTCACGGTACGAAGAGGCTAGTTACCCCTGTCCCCCTTACATTTAAATAAAAAAATAGCGGAAGGGAAAAATAATTGTAAACGAGACCTCAAACTCTTCATTAAAAATATCATCCTCTTCCAGCCTCTCAAAATCCCGTTTGTCGAGGGGAATATGGCCATGGATGACGCCTACCAACGCTCCATCGCCCAAGCCGAGGCCGCAAGCCGCGAGCAGAAGAACATCGGCGATTTGGAGAGGGTAGGAAAGACGGAATTTTGAGTACTGGCTTGATAACGGGGGGAGCATTGACCTATTGCCCTGGCCCCCATAATGAAATACACATCTTTATATAGCTTTTTACGCGGTTTTTATATCTCTAAAGTTCATAAAAAGGTTATACAGTTTTAGCAAAATTTTTGTTATGGTAGTCAAGGTGCTTCTAGGCCCTCAATGACTACGTTCGAGAGCGTCGGGCCCAACTGAAAGCCGAGATGCTTCGCACGAAGAGGGAGCTGGAGAAGGTTGAAGAAGAAATGGAGGCGATGGTAAAAGCACTATAATTAAGGACTCTGTTTTTGTTTAGGGCACTGATGCCGATCTTTCCCGCATCAAGTTCGCCAGGCGATTCTCGGCGACGTGGTTAGACTGCGCGCTGACGTTTCGTTATGAGACAAATCGATTGGGAGAGCTGCTGCCACCGGCACCGCCGCTAAAGGTACCGTCGGTTACTTGTAGTTTAAAAATTTTATTGGCAAAACTTTTTCGGTTCTTTGGGGTTTCCCCCAGAAGGCTTTTTACAAGTTCCCTAAACAGGTTAAATTTGAGCAAAAACACTTTTAAAATGTATAAAACAGATTTTTCGACCAAAATTTGAAATGTTCTACACTATTTCTGTCTATTGTCGGCAATTTTTTAAATGGCTCTTTCCAGGATCTCAGGCTCATCAACTGGGCTCTTCCTCCTGCCCCGCCAAGCCCGGCAGCTGATATCAAGGTGGAGGAGGCCGACGACACCGTCAGGGTCGGCCCTGATGACAGCCAGAAGGCTGACGCTGCTCAGGGAGAAGCCGAGAAGGAGGAGGAGCGTGCTGCTGCTGGCTCGGAGGTCAAAAAGAATCGTAAATCGCAAGGCTGCATTCTAAAAGCTCGAAAGCTTTGTTGTGGCAGCCACACTTGGCACAAATCTTTGGCGATTCGAAACTAAGGATTTTAAAATTTTAAATTAGAATGGGAACCGATCAATAGTGCTGTTATTGGGTCATGATGCCTCGGGGTCCTGGTCATTTCTCTGAAATGCGGCTTCTCGTCCAGTCGGGGGTGCTACTGCTCGCGCTTTTCGCCGGGTGTCTCGCCGACGATCCCAAGCTGGTACGCAATTGATAGAACTAGAATTTGTTCTCTTTTTCTTCTTTTTTTATAGGACTGTGTTCTTTAAAATTTAAGGTTCCATAGAAATTATCTGGCTGAATCTCGTTACTTCCGCCCGCTCCCTCCTCCGGTCGAGGTTTCGCCTTCCTCTCGATTTTCCCTCTTTACTTCTTTTTTACATGATTTCGTTTTCTCTTTCTTCCTATAGAATGCATTATTAGAGATTGAACACTCATTTGCAGCATCTGGAGGATGAGTTGCGCCCTGGCTGCAAGGGACATCACTCGTGGGAGTCACCATTGCCCGTGTCCCTCGTCTTTCTCGTTGACCGATCGGCCGGCGATGTCAAGGTGGGTTTTTTTTTGAGTGACTATCAAGTACTTTCTTGCAGGCCTCGAAGACGAGCTTCTTCTACAGCACCATCGCCTGCGTGCTGCCCGCCGAGGCAAAGTTGATGGTATATTTCTGTTAGAGTGTTTTAGATATTTTATATTTTAGTTGATCGATCTGCCGATGCGCGAGGCACCCGTCTGGACGGACAGCAAGGGCTTGAGGTTGGCCCTCAACGGCTCGGCACCCATTTCCAAAGGTGGGTTCATTTATGATTAAATTCTGTAGACCCTGCCGAATTTTGCGTGTTTTTCTAGATTTGGTCGGAGTGTGAGTTTGTTCTTTTCTCGGTCGTGTTTTACAGCTCTTTTTTACGTCACTTTTCGACCTTGACGCGTTTAGGCGATTTGTTTTTCAGGGCTTGAACCACTCTCGGTGTGCCAACGAATCGACGCCATCAAACCGGCAAGCTCGTTCGGCGACGATGTGCGGAACGTGCATCTCATTCTGGTCACGGACCAAGAAGAGTTGGAACGCCACCCAGGTGTGAAATGTTTAAAGAGTCTCTGTTATGTCAAATGAAAAGCTGGCTTCAAGCGTTTTATGACTTTTTGTTTAGACTGCGACATCCGGAAGCACTTCTCGTCGTTTGCCCATCGACTCGGAAGCGTGGATCCGTTGCGTGTGCATTTGGATACGATTCTCGTCGGCTCGGAGGTAATAAATTATTTAAAAGCCTTAATTTTTTGCATTTGCAGCGTAAACTCCCCGGGAAACGCGCGACGATCCCGGCGTGGACGACGATCTTTGAGAAATGTAGGGCTTTTATGTTTTTCTTCTGCCTCAGCCTCGGAATTTTGTCGATACTGTTCAATAATTTTTGGTGAATTTTCGTAGAGTTGGTTGCAATTCTATCTTGGCTTTCTTTGTAGTCGGCGAGAAACAGTACGTGAGGGAGGACTCGTACAAGGAGAAGCGCTATGGTGACGTGGTCGACGAGTTTTCCGCGTACATTGACAAGGTGAGCGTGATTTTTTGGCATTTGAACAGGTGTTGTTCTGGCACCTAAAAAAAAACGGCCTCTTGATCTACCTTCGCCGGCCTTTGATCGCCATGGATTAACTTTTTCAGATATTCACGGAGACGCACCTCGTTAATGATGTGCTGATTGGGGAAGAAAAGGAGGAGAAGCGGATGGGACCGATCGACACCACCATCACGCACAACAAAGGTAAGGAGAATCTGTGTTTTCCGAAATCTTTGCATTATGATGTCGCCATGTCTGCCATGTCAGAATACCGCCGTAACAGCTTTATCGATAAGGGTTTACTTTATCCCCCCCCCACAGCCGAAGGGTCTCAAAGTTGTCGGTATTTTCGCTTATTTTGTCGGGATTTTCGCAACGCCATTCGATAGAGCGTCGAAAAATATACTAAGAGTTTTAATTTGAGCCTACAATAATGTAAAATAAAAAAGTTATAGCCAAAAACTTCCGGCTGGGTGGGGGGGGGGGGTAAAGTAAACCGTATCCGCTTTATCCAGCATAGCCTAGCCAAACAGTGAATTTTCAGATATCTTGATCCCGTCGAATGGCCCTCCTTCAACTGTCCACAGCCCAGAAACGGAATCGCCGAGCATGCTGCCCGCGGTCCCCTTGATCAGGCACAACCGAGCCGAGCCAGTGCCCACCAATGAGCGCCTTCTTGCCGGCGCTGAAAGCCGTAAGTGTTCAGTTTAATTGTTGGAGTGTTATTTAGCTGTCCAGACCTAGTTGACGTACGGGGTCGATTCTCCTTCAAAACTCTCTCAAAAGCTATTTTTTTATAGAAAACTCGACGAATGCGACCGTATTAAGTGAGGAATTGATGCCGACGGTGATTGGTGGATGGAATGGCACCGATAATGCGACCATGGAGAGAAATAGTAGGGCTACAATAGCTGTTTTTGAGGGTTTTTGTTTCTTTACAGAGACGCGCCCCTACTGGAATGGCACCGAGGAGCTGGAATACGGGTGGGGGTTTTCTGCCAGTATTCGTTGAAGAAAATTAGCAATTGATGTGTTTGCGCTTGTAGCTGCCGGGACCCGGGTTCGACTCCCGGCCGCGGAAACGATTTTTGCTTCTCCCCAAAAATGATTTATCGCGAAAATGCCGATAACTAATCGATTTTCCAGCAAAGAGCACGAACTGGTGACGAACCCGCCCCGGGACCCGATCGACGTTCAATGGGTTTGGGTGGGGAAATTTTTCTGGAAAGGGGCTAGCTAGCAGAGCGCGTTTGGGACGTCAATCTAACACAGGCTCTTTTTCGAATGTTGTAGGGGTTTTTGCAAAATTAGTGGCACGGATCCGCTAGGAAACTAGCAAAAACCGTTTAGGAATCTGGCAAAAATCTTTTTTTTTACAGCTGGTTGTTGCCCTGGGCGGCTGCATGCTCTTCCTGGCGACGGTGTTCTGCTTCGTTTGTTTGTGTCGTGGATCAGATCGGGACACGACTACGAATAGCTCCTCTGCCTCCAGCCAGTCTCGCCGGGACCCAGGACCCGCCACAGGGGATCGCGTGGGGATTTGGAGATGATTTTCGCTAGTTTTTACCGTGCGGCTACCAGTTCTTGCTGAACGTCTTGAAAACGTCGGCGCGTTAATAGGCGTTTTGTTGAGTATTTCGCAAGGAGAAAGGCTATTTTCGCTTTGGGCGCCGTTTTGATAATGAGAGTAAAATGAGTGTTTCTGTCCTTTTTTTACTATACTTTCTTTTCTAAAATCGTACGTTTCCAAAAAATACAAAAATATAGAATTTTCGATCAATTTCAAATTTTTGTATGTCGTTCTTAGTGTCTAGCACTTAAAAGCTGCGAAATTTTAGTAAAATCTGGCTGAACGTCTTGAAGACCTCGTTAGATTAATACTTTTTTCAGGAGACGCTGCCCCTCGTCAACCCGTCCATGCTGCCGGCCCCAGCGGCCAGTGAACGAGCCCCCGACCCGTACAGCCCGGTCACCTACGGACCCTCTGGTACTCAGCATTTTCTGCGTTTTTTTAGTGCCATTTTCAGGTGAGGCGGCCCCATCGGCGATCGTCATCACCCCGCCCATCGTCCACGACACCGAGTTTGAGCATCACCCGCCCGCTGAGCAATACATCCCGCCCGATCTCTACCACCACGGCCAATTCCCCGCCAAGCCCGACCTGGTCAGCAAGCTTTGTTAAAGGGGCTGCTAAACCGCAAAACAGCAAAAAAATGAAATTTTTAGCCAAATTAAAATGGTTCAAAATTTTAAGAACTTGCTGCGAGATTTTTCGTACTGAAAAATGGAGTGTAAAGCAACAAATTTATTTTAATTAATTTTTTATTAAAATTTATTTCTTCTTTTTTTATTTGGTTAATAATTTTTATCTATTTTTATGGGTTCCTTGACGATAGGCCAAAATCAGCCCACCCCCCCTAAGCGTGCAACACTTTTAAACCCCCTTTATATTTCGAAATTTTCGAAATTTTTGAAAATTTTATTTTTACAGGTATTGAATTTATCGGATTTTCTTCCATCTTCACTTTTCTTACTTTAACTATACAATTCTGTCATAAAAATTAGATTTACAGTATATTCAATTTATCGGCTTTTTTTTCAGGCGCGCCCGGAGCGTGGCACCCGCCCCCTGGGCGTCGACTACAAATTCGACTATTGAGCCGTCGCTGGGCCACGCCCTCTTTCCACGACTCACCGAACAGCTCGAACATGTCGAATTGATCATCATCACCATCCGCCCCCCTCAACGGACTACAGACGGACGAGGCCACGCCCACTACGTGAAGCTCCTCCTCCCCCTTCCCTACTCCACACTAATTGACTCGTCCATCCCCCCCCCCCTTCTGTCTCTCCACATGTGCAAATAGAATTCTTTTCTGAATCGAATAAACGGGTTCAACTGATGTCTTATTGGTAGACTACGCTACGATACCATCTACGCTCGATTTCGTGAGCCATTGGGAGAATTTTTGTAATTTAGGAGTGTTCATCGAATCCTACCAAAATTTTCGCCGAAAAATTGGGTATTTTGTAAAATAGAAATTTTTGTAATTTTGTAAACTAAAAGCGTGAATTTTCAGGGAGCGATTTTGTAAAATAGAAATTATGTAAATTGTAGTAAAAGGGAGGTAGCAATGGTTTTTCAATTTAATTGAAACGCTTCATTTTTGCGATTTTAATTTATAGCCAATTTAGTTGTAGTAAAAATAGTTTATGCTGGATAATAGGAAAGGACAAGGCATTTTTAGCGCTCAGATGTGTACAGATAATGACGAAAATCACATCGAAAAAATCAGGACGGATCCTTTGGCTTATTATTCGTCACTCGTCGACGCGGACCCCAAAAATATCTGCAACACTTGCTTCCGCATGTGTTCCGGCCATTTTCCGGCTTTCTTGACGTTTTTGCCGGAAGATGACCAGCTGTAGAGATCGGTCGGCCAGTCCTCCGCCCATTTTGGACCGTAATCCACCTAGGAAAATGAAGGTAACAAAATATAGGTTTTTTTTTGTTCCCGAGAAGCAACTAGGGTCTATAAAAACTTTTGATCAAATTCTAAATGACTTTTAAAGGAGTTGCAACATTTCTTGACATTTTTCAAAAATATGAACGGAATTTTAATGCCTTTAGACTATTTTTTAAACGTTTTTAATTTATTAAAATGGACTGTAAGTCTTTAAATCCCGAAATCGATTGAGAATATTTTGCAAAAATGAGTTTCATGTCTTTCGATAGTAACTTTTTTCGTAAAAGCGGTATTAGTCATAACCCCGATCTCGCAAAGCAACCATTTTAATGAGCTGGGGAATTAAAATCAATAAGAAAAACGAACAATAATTTAATTTACCTAGGCCCTCTTTTTAGGATTCAATTAAAAAATGGCTTTTTAGATCCCGAAACTTGAAAATTTCGAGAAATCATTATTAACGTTCAGCTACGTTCCAAGTTTTCCAAAAATGACTTTCAAAAATGTTTAGCTAAAAACTTTCAAAAATTACTGTAATGCCGCCTTGTTTCTCGTGAAAGCTATATGTAAATTTTATTAGCATACCCGAATCGTCTCCTCAACATTGCAGGGCACGAAAAAATGGCGCCCGAGCAGATTTGCCGAGCAGAATGAGGTGTACCTTAAAGGTATCGAATTTTAGTAACATTTAAGTCTAATTAAATTAAATTATTAGTGAAAAACTGAATCCTTACCGTGGATAGTAGTATCTGTACTTTTGAAGTGAGTTGCTCGTACCGCCCACCCATGAATATCTGCCCTCATCGTACACAATAAATATATCGACCGGCAACTCGAAATCCCACGCGTACACCGTCATTTCGTAGCCTTCCCACGGCTGGAAGGTATATTATAGTATTTTTTGATACTTTTGTATTATCAGGGGGGGATTGTTTCTTAGGATTTTGGTACTGAACCGTTAGCGGGGGGGACTAATTTTTGTTTTTTTTCCGCGTATTGTTGATAAACCTGTTGATAAATATATCATGCATTTTGTAGTGATTTTAGTAGCTTTTGAGTGCTAAACATTATAAAAAATTTTAAATTTTAAAATTCCAGGATTTTGAATTTTTTTTGGTCATTATTGATGCATCAAGGCCAAACATTTTCGAAAGTTTTATGAATTTTTGATATCTAACCCCTCCCCCCGCTAACAGACCAGTACCTCAAATTTGCGAATATGAATAAAGGACGTGATTTCAACCGTTTTTTAGTTTTCCTAAACCTAAAAACTACAGAAAATTCATTAGTAATCTAGAAAATATAGATGTTTCGACCAGAAATGGCCCATTTTCGACCAAAATTTTTCAATTTTCAAAGTTTTTTAGATAGTTTTTCCACAGATAGTTAATTTTGCTGATTAATGTTGTTAAAAACTTTATTAAAACACCTAATATTACTTTGCTAGACATTTATGGACCTATGGGAAAAATTCGCCCCCCCCCCCCGATAATGCAAAAGAACCTAGGCTAGCAGCTGTCATTTGGGATCGATAGCTAGTCTTGGAATAAGCCCAACCATTCCAAGTATTCGATACAATGCCAACGGTCCATTGGTGGGAAGTGTTGCGAAATGATGTTGCAGTGATGGGCTGAATTCTGCGTGTCTGATCCCGAGATCCATATCATAGGTATGGGGAATGATTGAACACTCGCGGTACCAGCCTGCAAAAATAGATTGAAAGGATTTTAAAGGGACAGGAAAGGCGTGGCTAGGGGGTTCTTTCGCATTTTCGGGGGGAGCGGGTTATGGGTTTTACTATTTGAAACGATACAAACTTTAAAGGGCACGTTCAGGGACGTTTTTTTGAAAAAGCAAAGATTTTTGCCGCGGCCGGGGGTCGAACCCGGGCCCCCCGCTCGGGAGGCGCGGATGGATACCAGTCAGCCACAGCTACAACCTGGCTATGGGGGGAGGGGCGCCCCACGCCGCAAAGGAGGGGAATGGCCTGTCACAGCACGGGTAGGCCGTGCGCGCGGTCCCTACGTCCATAGGGTGTACAAGTTGCGACGAGTACACGGCCCCTCCCTGTACGTGCGCTTTAAGTAACTAAATTGCAAATTTTCGTTAAAAAATACAAAAAAACAATTTTCGGTCTGGTCTGGTCGGTTTTCGACAAAAATCCCGACGAAAAAGATTCTTTCTCTCTTTTTTTTGCCTTTCCGCTTTAAATAAAATCTCGAAAATCCATGTTTCAAAAAAAATCAAAATGTTTTTTTTTTGCTTGAAACCATATTTTTGACGAGATGACAAAATTTTCGAGGAGTGATTGCTTTTGAATTGTCTATTTCCCTTTAACAGCATTTTGATGAAACAAGATTATTTTTTTCAAAAATCAAGACGTTTTTAAAAAGGTTCAGGATTTTTTGGAAATCTATGTTTCAGAAAAAGAAATGAAAAAATTTCTGAAAAAATTTTTAGTGAGATTTTATTCTGTTGCTTTTAATTGAGTATGTCAAACGTTCAAAAAAAAAATCGGTATTTAAAATTGAATATATCGATGTTTATCAATATATTTAAAGTAATGTAGTAAGTAAAGTAAGGTACCATACCCAATAACGTGCCACCCTGCAGAAATGGATATGCCCCATAATTGATGATAATATCCCGAATATCGGCCAGCGCTTCAATCGCTTCGAGGGGATATGTTCGATTTGTCTCCGATTCATCTCGTTGTAACACTAAAAAATCAGGGTAGGCTAGCAGAGAAATTTGAGGAATTTTTACCGCCGTAACCTACCGTTTTTACATTCAATTTCACGACTTCGACGCCAGAATTCGAGAAACTGCGGAATATTCGCCGGCAATTTCACGCTTCCTATTTGATGGTAGATGATGCTGGAATTTAAAGGGATTGTGAAGTTTCAGATTTTCTTAAAGAATCTCTGCTAGTTGCTAAATTTTATTGCGCATTAATAATAGATTCCAAATGGCACAAAATTGCTTGAAAGTCAGAATTTTTAAACAACCTGAATTTTTTAATATTTTATGATTATGTCGTTTGGACTTGCAAATAAAATTTAAGTTGAAGGTGGAGGAAAATTAAATTTTATTAAAAGGTCAAAAAAAATATAAATAAAAACACAAATTCTCACCTTTTCGGGAGCAATCTAAACGTGCGATTGTCCTGGACCTGGATGAAATCTTCGGCGTCGTTTTCGGTGTATGGCAGCACGCGAAAAAGCTTGAGTAGCTCTAAAAAAAGAAAAATAATTTTGGAAACCAAATTTTTCCAAAAATTCGGAAACCAATAGCACCAAACTTCCTTGGAAATTTGACTTTTTCAACAAGTAACGCTTTTCAGAATCTCGTTCCCTTAAGCGAGCTTCGAAAATTTGGTTTTTGACAATTTTTGAAACATCATTATTTTAAAAAATTATAATCAAAAAATTTCAATTTTGGACAAATTGTGAAACATTCGAATTCAGGTTTAAAGGGATAGGGGCGGCATAAGTGAATCGATTACGCGCGGGAAAGAAAATGTCTCTGCGCCTCTCCCCTGGGCGCCCTCTCTCGTCGCCTCATCTCTTTAAGCATTTTAATTTCATGCATTTCTATAAGTTTTGCATTTATTAAAGCTCAGAGAAAACAAATAAAACGAACCTCGAGTTACGGTATGCCCCGAATCTTTTGCGATCATCGTCATCAGGGGGTATCGCGGAATGGCATGGCAGTTACGGTGGAATTCGGAGAGGAAAACTGGGTCTGAATTTTTAGGTTGATTGGTTTTAGGTTTCTTTAATGAGTGCATACCGACGATGACCAGCCCGACAGCCGTCATGTTCAAGGAGAGCAGGGCTTGGTGGCATGGTTCCTTTAAAGGGATCGGTTAGTCTAGGGCTGGGCAGGCTAGCAGTGATTACTTGGGAAATAGGGGCGGGTCTCTCGTTTCCAAATTCTTTAACATTCGGGGCAGGCTAGCAGAGACCTTAGGATTTGGGAGTATCTGGATGAGGAGAGCGTAGGGGCAAGCTTGCAGTGATCGTTGAGGAGTCGCTATTAAAGGGATAGTCTCGCTAATGAGGCGGCTAGCAGAGACGCTTAGCGAAAATTGGAAAAAGCGGAAACAGAGGTCTGGTAGGCTAGCAGAGATCATTTAGGATTCGATATTTAGGGGACTTCTAAAGAGGAAGCGAGCAGAGATCCTTTGGGAATCCTAAGCAAGAAATTCCGTACCGTTTCCGCATTCCCCCCAGATCGTAGCAGCAAATACAGTAGAATCAACAATCCGACGCACAGTACCCATCGGGCCAGCCGATTCTTGCCCATAACATCTAAAAATAAAAATACGTTAAATACGCAAAATAATTAGGCATAAAAATAACCAAAGCAATTAAAAATAATGTTAAAACTACGTTAAAATGTTTAAAGGGACAGAGAAGCCACGAGCCGAATAATCGAGCAAAAAGCAAAACTTTGACCGCTCGGGGCATCGAACCCTCGACCAAAACTTGACAGACAAACGCGGCGTCCGGTCACTACCCCGAAAAGTCACTACCCCGAAAGTCACTACCCCGAAACATGATAGCATTGTTTTTCCCGGAAAAATCCAGTTTTCATGCGGTTTTCCTATGAAAATCATGCAAATTATTTCGGGGTAGTGACTTTTCGGGGTAGTGACTTTTCGAGGTAATGACTTTTCGGGGTAGTGACTTTTCGGGGTAGTGACTTTCGGGGTAGTGACTTTCGGGGTAGTGACTTTCGGGGTAGTGACTTTCGGGGTAGTGACTTTTCGGGGTAGTGACTTTTCGGGGTAGTGACTTTACCCCGACAAACGCGCTAGCCACTAGGCCAGCTCGAATATTATTTTGGTTTAACTTTGCAACAGTACTAAAAAGATGACTTTAAAGATATATAAAAGCTTCGACTATCGGCTCCAGGGTTGGCCAACGGACCGTGGCAATAATAATAAATATTGGCCATCAAATGGACCGTGCGGGGACTCTTTGGACAACGGAATATTCGTATCTATCTCTCTCTCTCTCTCTCTCTCTCTCTCTCTCTCTCTTTCTCTCTCCCGCTTTTTTACGACCAACTCTCCATCGCCCGCTTCCACCGGCTTTTCATCACCAAAACCGTGAGAAACCCCACAAAAGTTCTCGACCAACAAAATGTTATAAGCTAAAAGTAGTTCAAAAGTATCAAAACGGATATAAAAAGTATAAAATTAAAACCATAGGATTATAGAAAATATAACAAGTAGTTCAGTGGAAATTAAAAAAAGTGTTCTAGAAATCCCGAAAAACAAGTCCGGAAATGCTTATTAACGTAATACTAGGCATTTTAATAGTTATTCCGTAAAATTTAACTATATTAAATGCGGATAAACGATCAAAAAGAAAACATATTTTTAGGTGAAATTTTGAGCGAACATTGGCCCTTTTAGGACCGAAACATCGATATCCGTTTTTTTAATTGCTAATCAAAGTCTAAAAAGTTTTTACGCTTAGAAATAGCAATAAAAAACAGTTTAGCAGGAACCGGAAGCCGTAAGGAGCGAAAATATGGGCCGCAACCCCATATCAATTTGAGGGCATAGGCATGAAGCCTGACCCGTCAACACCGCCCCTTATCACTCAATTGGCACACGCTGGATTGGTGATTTTTAATGCCGAAATGGTGTAGAGAGAGGTTACAAACTTGTAATGCTGACAACAGCGTTTATAAGAAACGTCTAGTAGAAAAATTCGGTAAAGGTTTCTTAACGGGGGGGGGGGAGGCGGAATGCCGCACGTTCATGCAGAGAGTTTTTAGGAAGCTTCTGATCCTGCTAAATCAGGCAGGCTAGCAGCGATTCTTTGCGAAAAGATACGGCTTTCCATAATTTTTAAAGCTTTTGGGCAGGCAAGCTAGCAGAGAACGCTTGGGAAATGGGGAGACGGTTGATTGCATCCACCTGTATACATGGCAAGCTAGCAGAGAATCTTTCGGAACATTCAGCATCTGCTAAACCATGGATCAGGGGCAGGCTAGCACGGATTCTTTGCGAAAAACTACGCGTTGCTGCAAGGTTTTGAAATTTGAGGGAGGCAAACTAGCAGAAAATTTTCAGGAAGCTCTCCACCTGCCAATTTTTAGATTTTGAGCAGGCAAACAAGCAGTGATCGTTGCGGAATCTGATCAATTGTTTTTGCGTCTTTATAAGCAGGGAAAGCTAGCAGAGAGCGCCAGTTTAAATGCTTATTTGCATCAAAAATTAGAATTTTCCCTGAATAATGGAATCTATGTAAACCAAGACCTTCCTGCCGCTATAAAAAGCTCATTCGGCGCAATTCACTATATTTATATTCTCGTTGCCAGTTACTCGGTTGGTTTTCTGTCAAAAATATTGATTTTCTTGGCTACAAATAAGCAATTAAAGTATTACGGGCAATAAATCCTAATTCTCCTCTTTCAGAAACCGGTGCGAATGGCGTTCCAGCTGTATGACCATATCTACTTGGACCAGAATGAGCTGCTCGCCGTCCCGCGATATCAGCACAAGGTGTTGCCCCTCTACGGCATGGTGAACACGGGCAAGGAGGACGAACGGTGAGTGTGAGCACGAGGGTCCGCTTGCAGCGATAGGCCTTTGAATTTCGACCTCTTGGCCATTTTTCATACACTTTTTTACCTAAAAAATCAAAAATTTTTGAAATTTATACGAGATTTTTGAACTTTTTTTGCATATAAAACTGCGTAAAATGCTATAAATCTACAAACTTCTCTTTTGGCTACGGTTTACTTTACCCCCCCCCCCCAGCCGGACGTTTTTGGCTATAACTTTTTTATTTTACTATATTGTAGGCTCAAATTAAAACTCTTAGTATATTTTTCGACGCTCTATCGAATGGCGTTGCAAAAATCCCGACAAAATAAGCGAAAATACCGACAACTTTGAGACCCTCCGGCTGTGGGGGGGGGGGGGTAAAGTAAACTCTTACCTCTCTTTTTTTCAGCTACGAGATCCAGGACATCCTGCACTACGGCGAATTCGGCGACATCTACCGCGTGCGCAACACGAAAAGCCGCCAGTACCATCAGCTGAGAACCGAGCTCGTCAGCCCGCCCGAGACACATCAGCAGTATGAGGTGAGTCCGTGTTGAGGCTGACCGAATCGACGTGTTGAATTCCAGGCTCTCGCCGCCCTCTTCCAAGAGTTTTTGCTGCGCGACAACGGCAAGCAGCTCTGGCGTTTCCCAACGTCAGTTATAGCCCCCTTTCTCGCCTTTCTCTAGTTTAGATTTTGCTCCCTCCTTCTTGCTCGCCAAAACCTAGAATCACCCTTTTCAGCGTGGTCAACGCCGGCCAGGACGACGACTTCAAGTTCTTGGTGACGAAGACGCTGGGGCGGACGGTGCACGAGGTCCGCCGCTACTACGTCAAGAAGAACTTCACGTACGTCGTCTGTTTTCCAGCATGCGTTTCTTTTTAGGGCCCACGACGCGCTGCACGTCATCACGCACATGTACTTTGCCATCGAGTATCTCCACCAGCTCGGCTATGTGCATGGGTAAGCGAGGGCGCTGAAAGGGGCGAGACAAAGTTTTTTGTCTGACCCTAGAAATCCCTGATAACTTAATAGGAAGTATTTTGATACGTTTTTAGCCCGGTAAAACGACATTTCACCTAGACAAACTATCTAAAAACTATACTTCTCCGCCCACCCCGGGTGGGCCCCCCACTAGGGGGGACAGAGGGGGGACTGAAAGGGGGGATGGTGGGGCCCCGGGGGACCCGGGGGATTCTTCCCCCTCCCCTCCCCCCACCCCCACCCCCACCACAGGGCGCCCTGCCAAACACGGCGTCCTTTAAGAATTCATCCTTTAAGAAAAACGCGCAAGAGAGGGGAAGACGGGGCTAGCCTACGGCACGCTCCAATCGATGCGCAATTGGTTCTTAAAGCAAAGGGGCGGGGATCCGTCTTCTGCGCTTTCAAGCCTCTGTAACTTTTTTATACGGCAGTTTCATAATCTGAGTGACCGCTCAAAAAATAGAAGAGACTTGGCTCTATCTTTTAATAGTGGTTTTGTCAAAATCGAGCGTTGGAATCGAGACTTCTGATGGTTTGAAGTTTGAATTTTAAATTTATTTTTTTAAATTTTAAATTTTAAAAATTGGGCTTTTAAAAATTTACGCGACGATTCCAATTCAATGTTTTCTGAAGTTTTCAATTAGCTATAACTTTTTTTTATGACGGTTTTCAAATAACTAGGAAGTAAGAGCAGACTTTCCTCTATCTTTTGCACCTAGTTTTAGAATAGCCCAGCGCAGAAATTTAGCGAATGGGCCCCCCCTCTTACGGGCCTGTCCGCTTGGATTCTTAATTTCTTTATTCGTAGCGAGTCTAATGGCTGCATGCCTCAGGGGGGTAGGGGGCACGGTCATTGGGGGGTCCCGGGGTCCCCGGGGGCCCCCCACCATCCCCTCTTTCAGTCCCCCCTCTGTCCCCCCTAGGGGGGGCCCACCCGGGGTGGGCGGCGAAGTCTACTAAAAACTTTCAAAAAGCCGAAATTTTCGTAAAAAACTGCCATTTTGGCCGAAAAATCTATATTTATAGATTTTTTACTCAAAATTTGGAAGGCTTTACCTTTAAGGATAGCAAATAAAAAAGCATTGAGAAACCCTTCCGCCATTTATGTTTGAAAATTGGATTCTAAAAAAAGCTTGTGCGTATATTGTTTTTCACCTCAAACCATATCTTGCAGCGATCTCTCGATCCGTAGCTTCTGCTTTGGCGAGGGCGAGAACGAGAACAACGTCTACATGTACTTGTTTGGACGGTTGCGCAAGGCACGCGAGGAGGGCCGTTTTGCGTGGGTCCCATCTTGCAGTGCCCCTCAAAAGACGACATTTTCAGCAAGGAGCGCCCGGGCCCGATCTACTACAACGGCCAGAACAACACGTTCTGCCCCCGCACCGCCCACAAGCGCCAAGACTTTTGCCGTCGCGACGACCTCGAGAGCTGGCTGTACATCTCGGCCGACGTCTTTATGGATGGGAATCCGCCGTGGCGCCGCTGCAACAAGACGCGGTGAGGCGGAGCTGTCGCTCTGAGGAATAGCCTGGAAGTTTGGGTTGGGTACTGGGCTGTTAGCGGGGGTCAAACTTGGCCTATCCCCCGATGGGGTCCCGCTAATGAAATAAACACCAGTTATATCGACATTTTATCCAGTTTTTAAGTATAGAAATTCGTAAAAGATTAAAATTTGCAAAAATTTGGTTTTTACCCAACAATTTAAATTTTTGAAGTTTCTAAATTTTTGTGAGAGTTTTTAGTAATCGAAAACTGCAAAAAACTGTATGAATACATTGCGAAGCTCTGAAAATGCTAGACTGGCTAGATTTGTATAGGCTAGACACCCCCCCCCAAAGTCCAGTACCTGGCCTTTCAGCAACCAGCAGATCCCGGAGCCGATCGCGCTGCAGTGCAAGGAGCAATTCTTCCAGGGCGGAGGTACGCTCAGCGATCAGAATATGATGTACGATTTAAAATCTACAGAAAAGATCACCAACGACTTCTTCGAGGACACCCCCAAGGAGATGAAGGCGCTCGTGCCCCAGATTGACGCGCTAGCCTTCGACCACGTGCCCAACTATGACGCGTTCCGCGGGGTGCTGACCGCGCTGGTGGGGGTGTTAACAGCGCACCAATTCAATACCTAAACGACGATTGAATTAATATGATATGAATTGAGAACCGACAATCCTCTTTCAGCGCGAGAAGCTGCCGCAGGGCAAGGCGCCGAAATGGGCAGGCCACTCGAGGACCAACGTCTACCCGGGCCCCAAGCGCCCTACTGTCAAGGGTAAAGCCCGCTTTCAGGCTTTACTTTCGCCCGACCTGCATCGATTTAGCCGACTTTTTAGCATATTACCAAGTTTTAAAAAAGTACAAAAGCGGAATTTAGAGTTGTGGTATTTAGTAGGCCACTAAATTTGACTTTTTTAATCTGTGGCCGCAACGACAATAGTTTTTGGCCTTCATTTCTTTACGCCAAAAAACGTCTAAACTTGCCGGAATGAAAATCGCAGCTATAAATAATTGCGAAAATGCAATGCAAGACTTACTAAAGTTAACTATAAACGTAAAAACATAATTATAAGAGCGGAATTTAGTATTAGTACTCCGAATTAAAGTACTTTTAAAATTTCTCTAGATCGAAAAACATCCAAACTTGAGCGAAAGAAAGTGGCATCAATCCAAAAAAAATCGTCGCAATAAACCGATACCGCTTTAGCCACGAAGAAGAAGTCGAAGAAGAAGAAGGGCAACCAGAGCCGCGAGCAGACCGAGGACGAGGAGGACGAGGAGGAGGAGTCGCAGGTGAACAAGAAGAGGAAGGTGGGCATCCAGGCATTCACCCAAAACACCCCTGCAAATTCAAGAAGAAGTCGGTGAAGAAGAGCCAGGGCAAGCAGCTGAAGCGCAAGGCCTCCCGCGAAAATGTCTCGGCCGAACAGGAGGAGGGCGAAGAGGAGGACAACTACATCAACATCAACCTGCTGCGAAAGGCCGTCGCCAGTCAGGAGGAGGCGGTCAGCAGCTTCAAGCAATAGCAGTATTGAAAAAGACATCAGCGTGTCTTTCTACATACCTAAAACGTACAGAAAGCTACTTTTTTGATCCTCAACTTTAGGACGACGAGTCGGCGAGGAAGGCCAAGAAGGCGAAGCGGCTGAAGGGCCAGTCGTCGTACAGCAAATTGGGCGGCGCCGGGGCCTCCTCGAAGACCTCGATGATGGGCAAACCGACGTCTATCTCGGGGAGAAACGCCGAATAAGCACCAACCTGCCACGCCAGCACCATTTAGCCGCTGTTCCTGCTACATTAATTTCCTTGTGATTGCCCCGTCCCCTCGAAATGTGTCGTACGCTTCCGCGCGGCAGTAAATAAAGAAGTTTTTGGTTACTTCCGTGACTTTTGTGTACGCCTGCCGCCGCAACGACCTGACGCTAGAATCACCGCCACCTAATTTTTTTCGCTGAAGCCGTTTCTGACCTTTATCGAGCTATTTGAACACAAAAACGGCATTTTGGGAGTACCGTAAACTTGAATTAAGCCAGTATCCAAATTTTCTGCGCGTGCGCGTGTCTTTCGAAAGCCATGGTGCGATTGAGGGTGTACCTCCACTGCGTATCTTGCTCGATTTATTAGAAGCACACTGTGGCATCAAGCGAATTAACAGCGTAAAAGTATCAGGTCGAAAATTCTTGTATGAGGTAGTCGAACCGCTCGGTCAAGACGTCGGCATCTGGGGCGGCGCGCAGCGCGGCAGAAGGTCCGTGCGTGAAACCAAATGCTGTGACAAGAATCAGCGCCTGGAAAAGACACATTATTCATGAGGAACCAGCCAAGCCGAATTGATAAGACCCGAGGGCCCAAAATCTTTTTGCCACCGCGTCAAATTAATTGAAGACGACCGACCTGTAGGTCAGTGAGTAGTCGCTGTCGAAACGCTGCCTTTTCGCAGTAGATGTGGATCGTGTAGAGCCCATGTCTCGCCTCTTTCACGATATTAATCTGAAAAAGAACATGATTCCCGATGTTGTCGTCTGCAAAAAAAAAGAGGCGAAAACCCGACGAGGCGTCACGACCATTGCCGCCCCCATAGTTTTAACCGAACTGCCTAACCCTCATTCATGCGCTAATTTTCTGTGCTTGTTCTACTGCGCAAGAAATGTTTTGAAGCATGCATTTCCGCCTCGCTTTCAGTGTTTTAAAGTTGTAAATTGTTGTTGCGCAAGCGTCGGGCCGCCACCCGAAAAACCAACCTGGCATAAATGCTTTTCCCGTGTGTCAGCGGCGATTATTAGCTGGGCCTCGGTTTGCTCATCTGTGACATGGACGCGCGTCGAGACGATGAATCGGAGTAGCAGCGCCGGCGTCAACGTCTCTGGTCGGCCACACAACAGATAGGCCAACTGCCCCGGGATCGGAACGGAAGAACACTGCAAATATTTCATTCGAAAACGACCATGACCAAGCTGGTCGTAAAATTAAGATTTTAAGGTGGTCCAAAAAAGTTTTTATCATTTTGTAGTATTTGGAATCTATTAAAAAAACTATAAGTTTTTTTAATTACTAGTTAGGTATTGGCTGAATTACAACAAAATCAACTTGCTCTCCAGTTAAAAATTTGCACCGAAAAGTAAATTAACGTACATTCAGAGGACTTGTCAACCCGGCGGGTCTCTTCCGCTCCTCATCCAACCCAGCGTTTGTGCCAAGATTCCAAAGCGTCACAAGTCGAAGGTCTAGTGGAATCCTGGAACATGGGAGAATTTAGCGGTCAAAATATACGGTTTCTACCTTAACACGGAGCGTTTTCCGTAGACATTCGTCGGAAATAGCCTCTGTGCTTCGATTCGTAGCTCTACCGGTGCTCTGGCGGCGGGCTTGAAATGTATCCGTTCTAAACATCGAGTAGAAAACATCAGCGTACATACCACGAATCTCTTCTCCCGCCAAAAATTTCGCAATCCGTAATGTGTGCGTGGTGCTCGGCGAAGAACCTAAAATAACCATGCATTGGTTTGGAAATACCCACTTTCTGTGTAACTGGCTGGAGCCCCTTGCACAACAATCAGCCAATCCTGTAGCTCGCATCCGGAGCGATTTTCCACACATAAACAGCAGAACAGCGAACCGTCATGTAGATGCTCCGTCTGAAATTGTCGGCTTAGAATTGGCAGTCAGAAAAATAAACCTCGACTCGACATCGCAATGGGAACCCGGCATCGTTATGAAAACTGCGCTTCTCTGACATCCGATTCGACGCACACGATTCCATCGCTCGACGAATCGCAAGACCCGCCCGGAGCTGGAAGCATTGGGTTGGAAAGGCAACTAAATATCTGTACCTGCCGCGCATGATTCTCAACTGCAGCCAATCGAGTACGTAGCGTATCGTATTCGGCTACGTCCAGCAGCCGATCCTCAAAACCGAAAATCAGCCTATTTTTAGGGGAGAATCAACAAACTTTCTCGAAGTCGGACGTTTGCGGCAGCGGCTCCTCAAAGTCCATCGGCTCATCACGACCTTCCGTAACCGATTCTCTCCCTAACGATCCGGAGAACGGATTCTCAAACGAATCGTCATCATCCATCCTCGCACGATGATGTACGACGGCACGAAACGGCTTGGCAGCTCTAAATTATTTTCAGTGTTCCCTTCATTTCAAACATCGAACCGCTTACGCGGGAAAAGGCGGGACTTTTAGGTCGGGTATGGCGGCTGAAATAGTTTATCTCGCCGCAAATAACAACCACCAACAACATAACAAAATAACAACTTGAAAAGCAATGCATGGCACAAGAAAGACAAATTGGGGGGGGGGGGTTAAAGCCTTAAAAATGATGACCAATAGAAGCCGAAAAGCAAGCATGAATTAAAAAATGCTAAAAACAATGGATGCACTCAATTACTGAACTAGGATCAACGATGACGTCTTTTTCGGGTAAGCAATTCTTTCATATCCAAGACCTTATCGTTCAAGTAGCGCACCACAGGGATGTAGAGGTCGCAGCGCCGTTCAAATTCCAGCGTCACGGCATCCACTTGCTCGATGAATTTCCGACCTTCCGTGTAGCTTTGCCGCTCCTCAATCCGATCCAGCTCTTGGTCTCCAGCCGCCAACAGCTCTTTGATCGACTTCTTTACCGTCCGATTCAGATTCGATACGTTTTTCAGAAGTCCGTCGACGACCGTGTTAAACCGATACTTGGATTTTTGAACGAGGTCCGCAAGCTCGCGCTGGAAAAGCTTTTCGCGTTGGTGATTTTCGTGGCGGTCCAGGTAGCAAGCGCCGCAAATAATCTTCGAACAATCAACGCAATAAATCAAGCATTCCGGATGCTGGTCTCTTGAGCAATCTTCACAGTCTTTACGACCATTAGTTCCTGAGCCATCCTTCGTTCGTTCCGTGTCGCCGTCGACGGCCCAATTCTTGGCAAGCTCATCGTAGAACCTCAGAAATTCTGTGCCGTCCCAGTCCTTTTTGATCGCGTAATCCACGTCGCAAGTGAAACATTTTACGGTTTTGGCTGGCAACCTGATGCCGTCAACCCTTTGACTCGAGCAGACGCTGCAAACAAGATGTCCGCACTGCAGGGAATGTGCATTTATGCTATTTGTCGGCATCATCGCGTCTCGACATCCGACGCATTTTGGTCCAATTATTGTGCCGGTAAAGTAGTAGCCACGATTGTTTTTCTTAGCAGATGATTGGCCGAGCAGTTCGACAATCCAGCGCACCGGTGGAGGAAATGACTGGCTTGTCCGGCAGCGGGCGCAACAGACCTGGCCATTTTCGTAAACTGGCGTCATCGGCTTGCCCGCTCCGGCATCGAATGGCCTGCGGCACTTCGGACAGTTGAAACATCCCATCGCCAACGGCTGCTTGACCTTGCCGATTTTCTTGTCTTTCATTTCCAGCAAAATATGCGATGAATGTTCATAGGTGCAGCAGACTCCACAAACCGTCATCGAGCAGTCCAGACAATTGAAATGTCGATCGCTGGGCTCTTCCAAGTCGCATTTATCGCATTTTGCCGTTCCTTTACACGAGTCGGCTTCTTTGTTTTTGTTCTCCACATGCACCTTGTCCAACCAGCCGATGGAGAGCTCTTCCACGAACTTGAGAAACACTTGGGAATTGAATTGATTGGGAACGAGCCTCGTCTTGCAAACAGGACAAGTCGAATCCTTTGTTTTCCTGAAGTAGCAGGTGTGACAAAGTAGATGCCCGCATTGAAGCGCCAGCCCACGGTGTTCACGTCGCGCTGTGAAGCCATTATGGCATCCTGGGCATGAGGGCAACATCAGAGGGCGCGAACATGCGTAACCTTCATTAGTTCTCTTGAGTCCGGGCTGTGCAAGGAAGGCGTGTATCCAGGTTGCAGCGCAGGGCTTCGCTCCTTTCTTGGCCATCCCGCCGAAACAGCTGGCACATTCGTTTCTGCCATTTCCCGTGTTGATCGGACTGTGCAACATCCCAGGGCCTGCGTCAAACGGTTGCTTGCATTTCGGGCAGTTGAAGCATTGTATAATCATCGCTGGGTCCCTGAAAGCAAAACATTAGCAGGAAAGAATGTACAGTAAAGAGCACGAAGATAGCGGAAAAAAACCCGGGGAACGCGCTTCAACAGACTATTCAAATTTGTTTGCTAAATGGAGGCGTGGGGGCGATATGGCGAACGAGTGCCCCTCCCCCGTTTACCTAGCCTGCCGAGTGCAGCCGACGAATTTGTTCGAAGGGGGAGCCGCCCTTTGGCCTAATGATACAATCTACCCTTCCCGCAAACGGGCCATTTACGGCATAGAGACAAGAAAAGCTTTTGCTTCTAACTCCCGTAAAACTAGTACTTAGAGAGCCTCTAGGTAAAACGAATTATCGGCGTGGTGACTTGGTTTTCGCATATTTCTCGCCAGTTATTGACAAATTTATTAAGTCTATTCCAACAACAGCACAACAAGGAAATTGACTACAAGAATGACAAATTCAACAAACTATTAGGGGAAAAGTTCAACACATCGAGACTGAAACAGAGAAACAAGAGATATTATTAAAGGATCCAACAAATGGACAAACAGATCGAAATAAAAACAACAAAATTAAAGTTGGCGGATTGATTCTTTGGACGGAGTGCTTTCGGTATGCGAGTGCGAGCCAAACTCGGAGGAACTTGAGGAACAGGATGAGGGCGCCCGTGGAGATGGTTGCATAGGCAGAGCGTAGACCCGAGGCTCCCCTTTCGGCGTCAATGGCTGAAGCGTGGAGGTAGAGTGGCTTGTGAGGTTCGAGTTCGACTAAGCTCGGGTAAGACGCGAAAGAAGCTTCTCACCAATTTCTCGCCCGGATACAGCGCAATCCGTGAACACGACCGGGCTCGGTTGGACGGACCAGGGCCACCGAGGTAGTCCAGACTGCCCTGTACACGTAGAATCGGCTTGGTGTTCCTGAAATGGAATGATCCGGGCATAAATGTTGTTACGCACTTCTTGATCCGGCTGACGGATTGGTCCCAAATCGCCTGCGCAATCTCGGCTGCTACACGCCGCCCCGTACTCTCTCGTATGAACCACAGAGCAATGCATCCATCTGGCTAAAGAAAACAAAGGTGGATCTTCAAAGTAACCACATACCATCAGGGCAGTGTTGACGAAATACTCAAACAGTTGATCAGATGGCGATGAGATGCGCACTTGACTGTTTCGTAGAGCAGCGGAAGCCATCGCCATGGTTGCGGGCGTCTAGATCAGATCTCATAATAACTAGAGGAAGCATACCGGTAAAAATTTGGAGGCGCAATACATCCGATAGGCGCGTGACGTCAAGAAAAGGCTGTAGTGCATGGCCATGAACAGCGTGAGGGCGAACAGGATGAGCAACCAAACGTAGAGGAACAGGTAGACTTTCTCGTAGATGTAGCTGGCCGGCATCAGACATTCCACGGCGTTGTAGGGATTGTTCAGCGAGATATCGTCCGTCTTATTGTAGCTGATGAAATGCTGGAAAAAATTCGTTTTCGAAAAGCAAGCACACCTGTATAGTCTCCGACGGCATGATGCAAAAGACGGCGCGAGGAAACATTAGAGTTTCTTCGCTGGTAGCTGACACTCCATATACGACCTCTTCTAACAACTGAAACAGAATATGAAGCCATTGAGCCAAAAATACCTCGAAACCCCATCCTAAAGACCAGTTCCCGATGATCCATTGGCAGAGGTAGAACTGGATAAATATGTTGAGTACTTGGAGCCACTTCTGGCATACGTAGACGAATAGTGCTATTCGGCCATGTAAAACATGGAACCTAAATAATGAATTGTTTCGAAATCAATCCGAAAGTACCTTTTCGCATTACGCCCAGTAACGTTCAGAAAGAATTCGCAGATTCCGTCTATCTCCCGGGATCGCTCTTCGCCGGTCAAATCTTTGAGGCAGCGCGTCTGGGAGATGATCGAGACGACCTTATTCACTAAGCATTATATATCAAATCTCCCAAAACATTTATTAACCTCCATCAGCCGACAATCCGAAGGTAGTCCAGGCAAACTTGGGCACCGCAAATAGCATCAGTTGCACGATCAGACAATACGGAATCCACTAAACCGGCAGAATGATGGGAACGGCAGAAATCAGACGTACCCGGAAATTCCGGACGAGTAGTGGAACGTGGCTGTGGCCCATAAGATCCGTGTAGGGCCGAGCTCGGTCCCTGACGCCTGCGTAGCTGCTCGAAAGAAAGCATTGTTGGTTCAAGAACTCTTCCCATAATGCTGAAAACAAGATTGGATGAACCTCCAAATGCTACTTGGAACTCCTGCGGGAACGATGCACTTCATTGCATCTCCAAAATTCTGGTTAGCCATCGTCAACGCAATAAAGAAGACGAGGATCGCGTTGGTCACCACGCAGTTGAGGATGTCAGAAATGTCGAAGAACGGTGGCAATCGGAAGAAAGACGCCACCGCCCCCATTATACGCATGAGCTTCAGGCTATAAGAAAAATATCTTGCAAAAACTTAATTCACGGTTACAATAACCGACGGGCTCACCCGAATTCTTCATATACGAATCGGGCTGAGAAGCCATGCTATTTAGAACGCGTACTATTATTCAAGTGCAAAAAATTTATTATATTTCTACCGCAAAGAAAAAAACAAGCACGCATATGGCGTCGAGGTGCGGGCTAGCACAAAATTCACAAAACTCAAAGGCACATAGGCCTAGCGGAAAAATTCAATAACACAAAAGAGCACAAAGGGGGAGGAACTAATATTAAACAGATTAGATATCACCACGACTTAATGAGAATTAATCGAGCGGGTTGTCGAGCTGTAAGTTCCGTGCAGGATTGGTGAATTATTAATATTAGTTTCCTTCGTTTGGCGACTAATGCGGCGTGGCTGACGGAGTTGGCGCCGATGAGAGCCAGTTGATGAACTTGTCCATTTTGTCCCGCCCACACAGGTCCTTGGTGTACATGCCGCCGAAGGGCGAAGGCGGGTCCGGGAAGTCGAACATCGGCCTAAGTTCGTTAAAATTGGCAAAAATAAATTCACCTTTGCCCATTGGTAGACTTCGGCGACAGCAAATTGAGCAGTTTCTGGAGGTCCAGCATCGGTGGCTCGCGCTCAAGCCTTCCGCGAGGACTGTAGTGGTAGCTGTCCGCTGGGCTAGAGAGATGGCTGCGATTGTGCGAGCCTAATAAAAACACATTATCCGAAAGCGAAAAACCCTAACCCGAGTGAGGTTTCGTAGCCACCGTCGGGCGGTATGTGCCATTGATGATGGAGAGGTCAATCAGCTGCTTACGCTTCAGCTCATCTTTGCCCTCCGGCTAAACAAGAAAATAAGATATCGCAGAACTATCTACCGGAGGGTTCAGAAGAACGTTGACCTTGTCGATCGCGTACTCCAGCTTCTTCCTGCACACATCTTCGTAGTCCTCACATTGGACAATCACGTTCAGTGGTTCCTGGAAAGTCATGACATAAAAAAGTAAAGATACCGTGCTCTGACCACGTCCGCGGACCATAATTTTGCACCCAGTTTCTTGCTCGAGCTGCCTGGCAGTCATTCCGCGAGGGCCGAGGATGCGGCCGACAAAGTTATACTTGGGGTACTTGTCGACGGGCACGATCAACTTCTCCTGGAGCATGATGCGCTTCGGCAGTTTTTCGGTGCGGCTGCTCTCCGTGGTCATGCTTCCCAGAAAGCGGTTGATCTCTGAAACAAAATACGGTAAATAAGATTCATAAATAACGATCCGCAAAATTACGCCACAAATTACTTACCGGCCTCGATGAGGCGCGGCAGATGCTTGAAGGGCTGTTCCGGTTTGCCGAGACGAGCACGTTCGCCAAGCAGCTCGGTGACGTACTCAGAGTGTTGGGTGAGCATGGAAGTGTCGTCCTCGGTAGCGGTGTTCTTGTGGCCCGAGGGCTCCTCCGTCTCAGAGTGGCTGCTGCTCATCGACTCCACCGAATGCTGATCGCCTCGCCCGTCCATCGGCTTCAGGTACCGAGCAGCCATCGCAATAGTCGCTGAAAAAGGAAGTTTTTGCAAATGAAAACAGACAAAATCTGGCATATCGAACGAAACAGCGAAAGAACGAAACGGAAATAAATTTTTGTAGACACCAAAATCTCAAAATGCTGCCAACCAGTGACTTTTTCGAAGTCGATGTTCTCGCCGCCGTTACGGTATCATCCGCGTTTTAGGAAACAGAGTAGAGCAATTCCGAGACCCACCATCACCCGTCTTCCGTCAGCAGTTCACTCCGGAACGAGCTTTCCCCCAATTTCGCTATTTTGGCTTGAAGAAGACCAAACCCCAAGCTTTTGAAGCCCGGTAAGCCTAAAAAGGTACATAAAAACGTGTTGGGTTAAACGTGGTGATTTAAACTAAAGGCCTTTTAAGCATTAGCGATGTCTATACGTCAAATTACGACTTTGTTGTGTTTTTCGGCATCCTTTTTATGCGACGTAATCATTAGGGGCGCGCAAGGCAGCCCCGATTGGGGTTTGCGGATCTGTTTTTTCCTACGGGCACTACGGGGCTTTAATTTTTCCTAAGCCCCGTACGCCGAACAATGGTGGCTAATGCCCGGGGGCGGGGGGGAATTGGTGGTGGGGGGTAGAGACGCCCCCTAGCTGCGGGTTTCGGCTGAGCGTAGGCTTAGCTTAGCTTTTACAGCAAGCTTTTGCTTAGGGTTAAGCTTAAGCCCACGCTAAGCTTAACTTAAGCTTTAAATTGCCTCAGGTGGTCAAAATAGGGTCATTTTAAGGCTAAGCTTAGAGCTTAGCTTGGCTCAGCATAGGCTTGTTTTTGTTTGGGGGCCAGGCCCCTGGGGCTTGGCGTATTATCTCAGAGGCTTCGAGTTAAAAAAACGGCATTTGGAGCGTCTTGTAGTCAAAATCCGGTTTGCCCCCAAGTGCATTAGCACCGAACAATGACATAGAGAATATGTTAATACCATTGCTCGGGTTTTTTAGATATGTAAGGCATTAATTTCTTAGCATTTTACCTTTTTGTTAATCTGAAGTTATAAAAAACATAAATTGTGGAATTTTTCGTCGAAAATTGAAGAAAAATGGTTAAAAATGACAAAACTATCACTATCAAACAAGGCTGTCAGGGTGAATAAAAGTTGTTCTCCCTCCGCTAACGAACCAGACCCTATTTTGCTTTTATATCCCCGTGTCTACATTTTCAGATTTCCAATTAGATTTTTTAAATATAACAAAATTATTAGATTTTCGAAAAAGGTATAAAAATTGATCAACAATGTCAAAACTAACAACTTTTTTGCCCTGATTTCCCTCAAATTATTAGCTTTTCAGACATTTTTTTTCCGATACCCACAAACTGTTATCTCGACGATGGTTGTCCACCTCCCTGGAATGCATGCAGAGACGTTTTGTGGTGGTGATGGGCCGACCTTCGCCTCCTCCCCCCCCCCCACCCCCCTGGGGTGTCCCATTTCAGGGGCGAGAAACGTGTGAAAAGGCGCCCTTCTTCTTCAAAATTCCGTCACGAATTCAGCGGCACACTCACACAACTGGCTCCAGTCACTTCTCAACCGGTTCTGCCAATTCTAGTTGGTTTGGGCGTAATGGCGGTGGTTGAACCGGTCGAACGGTTTTAGCTTTTTTTATTTAAGTTTTTGAAGTTGGGTGGTTAACGTGTTAGGTTTTTAGTTTTTTTAGTTTTTGTTCGAAAAAAAAAAAAAAAAAAAAAAAATAAAAAAAAATTTTTTTAAAAAAAAAAAAAAATTTTTTTTAAAATTAAAAAATAATTTTTAAAAAAATTTAAATTTTTTTTTTAGGCTCTACTTTTGCTAATGTGAATAAAATAAACGTTGATATACGAATTTTCCCTATTTCTGAAAGTAAATGCTTTAGAAATTTCAGTGAAAGCCCCTGAAATCGATTTTTCGAGAAGGTTATGAGTTTTCAAGGGCTCTTATTTTTTATTTTTCTTTAGATGGTCTTATTCCAATCCTAAAATATAGCTAAAGTTTGTTAAAAGTTTATGAAATACCTGTAATTCATTACTAAGCAGACGGGACCTATAAGGCAAAAAGATAGGGTCCTCCCTGTTCGAAAGACTCAATAAACATATGTGTTAACTTTTACCAAACTTTTATTGGGATCGCTGATCCTTAAATCTAGCTCACCGTCGCTGACAAGATTGTTCTATAGTTTTATATATTTTTCTAGCTGTCTCACGCCCTCGCCAAAATAATTGGCTTCACTTTTCTTCCTCTACCAAGCCAAAAACGGAATTTTGACACACGTGGTACCATCAAAATGACCCCGTAGCAGCAAATCGCAAACAATCGGCTTTTTCTGGGCCCGACATCCGTGACTTTGCACCTTTTTGGGCCCTAACCCCGTTTGCATATTTTTGCGGGGAAACGCCTTGAAAGGGCCCTCCTGGTCCAATTCGCTCGTGCTAGGCCCCGATTCGCAGGATTCTCCACGCGCTCCTCTTCGGCCTAGCAGCGTTTTTTGGAAGTTCCTGCTAGAATTTTTGAGGTGTTTGAGTCGATTAATTTAGTCTACCGGCTCGTTTGTGGTCCTGTTAATGGTTCATCTACTTTCAACGGTCACTGTTTTAGACAATTTTATTTTCTAGCGCATTTTTTGTGCACTGCCACAAAATACAAGACGTTACCGAACATGCCCGGGGCCACTTTGCTGCCTAAATTAATTTAGTAGTTGCGTTTCTTTTAGTGACGCATCTCCAAACGAAGGAGATGTTTTTTTAAATAATTTTATGTTGTGGTGCCTATGCATTATCGGGGGGCTAGGGAAACAGCAGTTTCAGATTCCGCATAACTACAAAAATTTGGGCACTATACTGTTACCGGCAGGGGGGGGGGGCACGGAAAACAATTACCTCAGGATCCCCCGACCTTCAGACATTTGTATAGCATTTTCCAGACTTTATCGTTATAAAAATCACATAAGCATTATGCCAATGTTCAAAAATTGTGAATTTCTAGGCAGAAATATACCCCCGATAAAGTTCCAGCACCAAAATTATCATATTTTCATCCGTTTATGACCAAAAAACCAAGACTTAAAATAGTGTTATTGGTTTGTAAAGTTTTTTATCCAAAAAGGGCGTAGGCGGTTAAAATAGATTATTTTTCATCGTACAGCGCTTTGGAATTCTGGTTTAATTCTGGTTTTAATTCCTCTTTTTTTCCGGTTTACGAACCCGTGCTAGGCCAAATACGTGCCATTGCACCCGCGCACCTTGATGCAATTTGCCCATTCTCCCAAATCTTTGCAGCCCATCTAAGGGAAGCGAGGACGCTGACGCGGCAGAAGGGAAAGCCTATTTTAGGACGCGTAAGAGCGGATGAATGGCGTACTCTCCCTCCACGGCGATCGTTACTGACCTTTTTTGTAACTAGGCGGGCGAACTGGCTTATCGACCGTGCCTATTTTCCTGGTGGGCAGCCAGAGATTTGGCTTGGCCGGCCGGCTGGTGCTGATGTATTAGCCGGGGGGGGGAGGGCTAGTTTTCTGTTATTTACAACCATTTTAGTAGCATTTTAACTGCTATTAGATAAAAACTTTATAAGTATTATTGAAACTTCGGAAAATGGTCATTTTTATGATAATTTCCATTAGAAATGATGTGGGTCAAAGATGATGATTAGAAAAGATTAAAAAATATCACAATTTTGGTACTGGACTCTAACGGGGGGGGAATTACAGATGTGACCAAAAAGTCGGAATTTCTAAAAATAATACATAATTTTTAACGAACCGTTTTGAAAAGTTTTGATTTTTCAGAGTAAAAAATGGAATTTTTCAATCTTAGTCATCGGAAACTGCAAACATTGATAAAAATTGTTTCATGTTGTTACCTATAGAGGTTAGGCTGATAAGTAGATAAATCCCCCCGATACGCACCAGAATCGGCCGACGAGCCGCCGGGGGAACCCAACAAAAGTACTAATCCCTTGGGGGATTAGATGGAAGCGGATGGGTCTGGCCGACGCTATTCTTCTGACCGCTGCCTTGCATAGGAAACCCTGACGCGGTCTAGGACGTCGCTTTTATTTAGATTTTGAACTTTCGACAACGGTTTTCGGGTCATTTTGCGCCTGGGAGGCTTTGAGGGGCTTGATAAGACGAGGAACACCGCTTGCTACGTCGGAAAAGTTTTGATTTTTCCTTCCCTACGTCTGGTTTTAATCGATTTTATAAGTTAGTTAGGTCGCGCGTAAAAAGGTCCCAGGTTTAAAATCCGATTGTAGACTCTCAAAAGTGGAAGATTTTAGGTTTTTAGCAATCTAAAAACTGCGTAGAATGCTATAAAAAGCTTCTACAACAGTTCGGTTTCTGGAGCGGAGAAGGATTGCCCTCCCTGCTACGGGAGAAGCACCCGCAAAATAAGTTAACAGGTTTTTGACGATTTTAACGACTTTTTTACAAATTTTCTGTTTCGAAAAATGGATAAAAAGACGTAAACCCCTTTTAAATGGTTTGTATTTTACTATAGGGCGTCTACAGTAAGACAAGGAAAAAGTTGGGTCCCTCTGGCCGACCTCCCGGCTAACGAATTAGTGCCATTTATAAAACTTTTTTCGTAACTTTTATATAGCCAAATCCAGTTTTATAGTTTTAGCAACTTTTTTGTAACTTCTCTAATATCCTCACCCGTTAATGGATCAGTACCAATTCAGGTTGAGTGGCGCGGGCTCGATCTCCACTTGAAGCAATTTTTTTCGAAATCCAGAGCTTTTTGTGACG